ATATAACCATTAAATCGTAAATTGATTTTGTTATTTCAGATGATTTCGAAGAAATCAAACAAGACATATCAAGCTTTAGATACGAGATGTTGAGTCAAATAAAAGTTAACGAAATTAACATCAACGAAATATCAAAGTCTGTATCATCCGTTCTTAAATACGTCAAGACAATGGCGCATGCGCCGGGAACAGAAGTCGAATCACCTAAAGAAGAAGATGAAAACACACAGGAAACAAACATCCGGAACTTTGATAATGCAGTCGTAGACGACACAAAGCAAACAGCACCTCTATGAAAAGTGTTGTTTTCTAAAATTGCACACAAATTGTACTATATGTATATCGTATCTGTGATTTGGAATGTGAGATTTTCTATGTGAGTATGCACTGCTTGGATTTTCGAGCACAAGAATCTGTCTCGCCATGAGAAATTCATCACCTACATGTATGTTTTATTTCTTCGGTTGAGAATGGAAATATTAAGAAGCCTCAAAACTATCAAGTGAATCAAATTCTATGTTGTCAACATCATTACGTGGTGTAACTATGACAGCTCGGTAAAACCAAAGAATGTAATGTTGTTTTTTTTTTCTTTTTTCCAATCAGCGTGTTTTATCCAATGTCGTAATATTCAGAATACCACATGCTTTTCTTTTGGATCAATAGGAAAATTCCATTATTGACGCATGAATTCAGAAGAACTTTTCTATGTGACAAGTGCTTAAGACCAGCATCGGGGTGCTTAAGACCAGCATCGGGGACCATGAAACACTTGGGACATATGTACATCTACCTACTGTGCCGAAAAGGTGAAAAAAGTCAATTACTCAAAAATATTCTTCAACATCATTGTTGATAAATCATTGGCATGCCATTTTTTTTAAATTTACATAAAGATTTACAAATGATTGAAAATGTCGAATTCATGATCCCAAGACCCGGATATACAAGTAGGCTATATGTTCTTGCCTTTCTGCGATGGATAGCCAACTTGTGGTTGATATAATGCGATGAGTAGAAGAAATTTTGACTTTCATATTAAGTCATTTCATTTTGATGTTTCACGTTTGAAATTATTACTTTAAATGATTTGTTACTACTATCTGAGATAGTGTTTTAAAACCATCGAAAGTATGTCTGTGTTGATGCTTTTACGTTGATTTTATATATTGTTATTGTGATACATTTATTAAAATTTGATAAAATAAGGTGTTCTTTTTTTTTAAATTCTTTGAAGCTCCCCATATGTCCGTATATCCGTCACTTTGTTACGCTCTCGGGTACCCATCTCTTATCCGCAACTCCTCTTAAAACATTGAATAAAACATAATCTTTGTTACACAGTGCCATCGTGACCTCTTATTTTACTTTTTGATCCGACACATATTTTGGGTTCCATTTTATGATTTTTTGAGCTCAGTGCTCACAGTAACTCTAGTTTTTATATACATGTATATTTTTTAAACATAAAATTGCATTTTTTTTTAGGAAAAATGTTTCATAAAAAAAAATATTAAATTTGGACTTAAGTCTCTTCTCAGATTACGGTCTTGATGCCTGGTATTCTTGAGTCAAAATTTTAGCCATTCATGAAATGAATGATTTTACTACTGTTCGTTATCCCCATATGTTTCATTTGTCTTTAAAAATAAACAGTGTGGTAGGGAACCAAACATTAAAAACATTTCAAGTTTTAGATGGTTCCTGTTATAAAAACTTATAATATCAATGCACAAATTTTGGCTTAAGTTTAAGATTGCTTCCTCATCCTAGGGCCCTGATCCAACGATTGTGCAAATTCGTCATTCATTGAATATAAATTACATATTTTAGGAGTGGGGTAATTTAGATCGTAATAAGTATTAAACCCTAACCGAAAGTGTCACTTTTTAGGTCTCAAGATCCGGGTAAAGTTGGTTACATATTGACAATCCATATTACTAGTATATCTAAATATTTTGTGTACCACCATCTACATTTGTAGAAGACAAGTGTAATGTACTGTGAACAAAAAAAGAAACTAATCGTAAATTATGCAGCATATCCAGAGAAGGGCAAAGTAATACATATTGATATCCTAATGAAGTGGCCGTTATGGTCTTTGGGTGTCTCGTTTTCACAAAAGGTCTTCTAGTGATCAGTTATCTGTATACTTGACAAAGTATGCCTTATTTCAGCACATATCAAACAAAATAATTTTTTTAAGACAAACCTTGTTTATTTTCTCAGTAGATTTAATTAGTATTTCTACACTCGGTAATCACTGAAATGTCGAATTTAGAGTAAAAGCAGCAAAGCCAATGACTACATGTTCTGTTTTTGTCATAGCAAAAACTTCATAATGTTCAATCTTTTGTCGTGATATTCAGAATACCAGATACTAGATCTATTCTTTTGGATCAATAGGGTTCCATTATTGACACATTCAGAAGAACTTTTCTTAGTTACAAGTGTTTGAGACCAGACACGATACACGTGGACATATGATAATCTGCTTATTGTGCCGAAAAAAGAACAAAAGTCAATCCAGTTGTCCAGTCACGTGACAAAGTCAAAAATATATTTAAAGATCAGTTTTTCAATTTATTTTAGATATACAAAATTCATTGAAAATGTCCTATTCATGATCACAAAACCCGGATGTAAAATTAGCTTATGTTCTTGCCTTTTTGTGATAAATAGCCAACTTATGGTTGATTTAATGCGATGAGTAGAAGAAATTTTGACTTTCATATTAAGTCATTTCATTTTGATGTTTCACGTTTAAAATTATTACTTTAAGGTCAAGATCTAGTAAATGAGAGGTGCCTACAGATTCATCAAATTTGAAAAATAAATTCCTTTATTGATGCTTTACAACTTTAGCTTGGTCAAATAAGGTGTTTCGGTGCTAAATTTGTAGGTAAACAAGATGAAAAACTGTACTTTAAACTGTCATTTTCAATGAAAAATTAAGAAAACCAATCAAGAATATGGAAGTTTTTTTTATATTCGACAAGGGAAATGTATCCAGATTGCATACAGTCTCTCAGAAAACGGTAATTAGTATGTTCATGGACTCTTCTTTAAATCAATATCAAATCTAATATAGGTATCTGGTTAACTTTTTATATGTTTTCAAATTGAATGTCACGAAAGTACATTTATAGATCTTGACCTATTTTTTTATCTATATAATTCTGATTCATTTACTAAATTAAAATGTAATAATATAAGGTGTTTTTTTTTTATTCTTTAAAGATCCCATATTGTATGTACATCCATCAGTCTGTTTATCTCTGGGGTATCAATCTCTTATCCGCAACTCCTAGCTATTATACCATTGAATGAAATTTAATGAAACTTCCACAGGTTTTTTTCTTACATAGTGCAATTGTGCACTTCTTATTTTACTTTTTGATCCGACACATATTTCCGGTTCAATTTTACCATCTTTTTTAAAAGCTCGGTGCTCACAGAAACTATTGATTTTATATTATTTTTATATCATATTTTTAAACCATTGTAAAAATGGCAAAATTTTATGTTTCATAAAAAAGGATTTTAAAATCTTGACTTCAGTCTCTTCTCAGATTATGGTCTTGAGGCCTGAACTTAGTTTTATAGTGCAGTTTCAAACTGGAATCAAAATTCCAGCCATTCATAAAATGAATGTTTATTATCTTAACAATTAAAATAAACATCATGGTAGGTAAATAAACATTAATAACATTTCAAATTTTAGATGGTTCCTGTTATAAAATGTTATAACAGTACACAAATTTTAGCTCTAAAATTGCTTCATGATCCTAGGGCCCTAGTCCATCGAGTGTGCAAATTCATCATTCATTGGAAATAACTTAAATATTTTAGGGGTGAGGTAAGTCTTAAATATTAATGATAATAAGTATTAAACCCTCACCAAAATTGTCAACTTTATGTCTCATGATCCCGGTAATGTTGGTTACATATTGATAATCCATATACAACATGCTGTGTGTACTCGGCATCTACATTTGTAGAAGACAAAATTTTAAGCATTTTGAACAAAAAAGTATCTATAAAATCGTAAACTATGCAGCATATTCAGAGTAGGATAAAGTAATACCGGTATATATTGATATCCTCTCATGAAGTAGCCGTTAAGGTCAATGGGTGTCCTGTTTTCACAAAATGACTTCTAGTGACAAGTTATCTGTATACTTGACAGAGTGTGTCTTATTCCAGCACAAGTTATCCAACAAAATACTTAGTAGCTATATAAGACAACCTTGTTTATTTGTCCAGTAGATGTGGTATTTCTACACTCGTGATTTATCAAAATGTCAAATTTGAAGTAAAAGTAGCACAGCCAATGACTACATGTTCTGTATTTTTCATTGTAAAAACTTCATAACGTTCGATCTTTTTAAGTATTAGTATGTCGATTCAAATTCATCACCTTGAATACTTGTTTTCCTTCTCATTTTCTTTTTTACAAATACTGATATCTCATTACAGGTTAAGATTTTGAATGGCAAGTTAAAAAATCTTTAAAAAATAAATATATTAAAATGATTGATTTGTTTGACCTAGACACTTTTTTAAAGTATGATTTTCGGAACTGTGTTTTTAACGAATTATTAGCTTATAAAATGACATAATTAATAAATATTGCTTTGTTCAAACATCTCAATCATTGTAAATAAGTTTATGTTATGGATCAATGTTTAAACAATAACAAGGGTATAGTGTTTCATTATCGCTTCGATGCGCAGAACTTTCTCCAAAACACCAAAACATGAACAGTTGAATTTAAAACAAAATAGGTGCACGATGTAAACGCACTCGGTAGGTCACGATTATATATTAATTAATCGATACATGTATACTTAAACATAAAACAAGGAATCACTTTGATATTTCAGTATTGTTAAATGTATAATGGTGTTTAAATATAAATTTAATATTGAAATCTCCATATGTTTCATGTCATTATTAAAGATTTCATTCGGGATTTTGGTTTCAACTATACAGTTATAATGGTATAAAGAAAAGCGAGTAGAAAGTCCTAAAATGGACCCCAAGTCTCTGGAATCCCTTAGAGAATGCAAACTGAATCTCCTTGAGATTCTGGAGGTTCAGTCACGTGATTGGACAACTGAATATTATAAACAGCTGATCAAAAGGGCAGGACATGAGGTGAAATTGATCATTACAACAACAGCTAACTACCTGCTGCAACTAAAAGAGGAGCTGAAGGATTTGAAGGAAATTCTCCGGAAATTGAATATCAAAATGGCGGAGGATGTACTGGGGATAGTGGTGAAAGGTTTATTTACAGGTAGCTTGACTCTTAGAAATAAACTTTTCATTTAGATTGAGCTATATTTTTTAAGAAAGTACCGGTACCATCAAACTTAGATTTTAATGTGTCATATTGCAGACGGAGAAACTCTAGAAACCAACGAAAAAGATGAACTTAAAAGTCTGAAAAGGTATAAAATAAGTACTTATATTAAGTTTAAAATAACATTAACTTTTAAAACTATAATATGATAATTTACAATAATTTTTACGATCCATATCTTGACTTTGAAAATGAAAGAAACGAATGAATATTTACTTAAGACGACTTAAAGTGAAATCTTAGATGTGATGTATGGATTTAGGTCTCAGATGTACACTAATATATGTTTTTCAATATATTCTGTACATTTTTATCCAAACATTATTCATTACAGTGATGAATTCCGTTTTGAGTACGGAGAAGCGGATACTCTTCATGACAGACAAGTGAATATAAAGTTGAATCTTGATATCAAAAAGTCTATCATACAGACCAGGGAGATCTTGGATGAAGTGGATGACGACATTATGGTAAACACCACAGCTGTTGAAAAGCTGGAAGATTTCATCCAGAAGTGGGCAGAGAAACTCATAGAAGAGGAAGTGGCTGACAAACCTAGAGAAGAGGAAGAAGAAGTGGTTGTAAATAATGAAGAGGAATGTGCAGAAACTAAGGCTGAACAAGAGAAAGAAAATCGTACATACACCATTTAAATTTACTCTTTTCGTGAAAATTGTTAATTTAAACAATCTTTTATACTTAAATATATTGTAATAAGAATAAATTGTTTTAATTTGAATCAACACATTCGTATTTTAAGTCTTACAATATCTTTATCTTTTATAGAAGAAGAGCATAGAGATGAAACTCCACAGGGAGAAGAGGCAAACCAAATCAGTGAGAGCACAGAAGTGGAAGAGATTCAGAAAGATGACAGTGTTGGTCCTCACAATGATGAAGAAATGAAGAGCAACACAGAAGAAAACCAGACCAGTGATGACATTGACAAAGACATTCTTAAATCAGCGGTCGAAGAAAATGCAATTGATGACAAAAAATTAAAAGGTAGATCCAGAACACTGACCTCAATGAAAACGGATAAACTTGATGCCATACCGGAATCAGATGATGATGAAAAAGAAGAGGACGCGGTAGATATTGATGAAAAGACCAATGCAGAGGACGATGGAGATGGTGAAAAGCAATATTCGCATGTAAAAGATGAAGATGGTGCAGATATATCTAAAGAGGAAAAGGATGATAAGGAAAACCAAGAAAAGATAGACAGTGATGATCAGGATGATGACATAGAATCTCAGATGATGAAAGAGTTACAAGAGCAGGAGGAGCAGAAATTTGAGGATCCTTTTCCAGAAGAGGATTGGGACACCTTTGTGTAATATAACGGAATTGTTAATAGATATTGATAAATTTCTTCATTCAAATAGTTTACTGACTTTAATAGTTCAAATATGTTTTTATACTAGTAATCTGTACAGAGTGTACTGCTCCTAAAATTGACCATTGATTTAATCTTAAATATTTTATGAAACTTACTAAGTTGCCCAAATGTGCTTAATTTTGAAACATTTTGCATTTTGCAGATTTTCTATCTTTATAGGTTTCATCAAACATTAAATCAATCCGAAAATCAAGATAAAGAAATCATATGTGTTGTCACTGCAAAACGCGATATGCTGAGACGAAATGATGTTAAGTGTTTTAACTCTCATGATCCAAATGACTTAAGAGAATGTTTGAGGAATAAGCACGAAAAACTGTTGTCCTTTCTTGTAACTGTGAGCTTTGCAAAAGAACCAGTTGATAAGGTAAGCGAATAGATGCCGAAATAAAAACATAATTGGCCAATCGTAACGATGTGGAACTTAAATACATGTATGAAGCGTACTCCTGTTTTGCTTCGTTTTTTTAAATTGTAATAATATTTCTTCATACAGAATGAATGTTTCGTTTTTGTCCCATACCATGAACCCTCGGAGAAATTAGATCACGTGATCAGAGTTCGGTCACATGATGGTCAGTGGACAGATTTACCTCCTCGTGACATTTCAAAGCTTAGAGCAGTTCCGGTAATCTTGAAACCCACATGTTTATATTCTGAATAGCATAAACACATGAGAATAAACACATCATTGATTCATTGTCTCTATATAATTCACAAATCAATTTTGGTAATTACAGGGGATAAATTTCAGTGGAATCATGATCCAGGGAAAGTTTCCTATCAGACTGGTAGTTGTTGCACATGGAAGACTCGTTCAATATAATGTTCCAGAAGGAGGAATGGCAGTAGAACCGACAAACGACAGAAACATAACACTTCTGATATCACCGGCAACATTCAGAAAAAAGACCCACATCTCCTGTTTTGTATGTCAATAAAAATAGACAACTTATAAATCTGTAAACAGCTGTCAAACCTATGTGTAAATTTCAATTACATGTATCTAATAAATTTATGCTTTAATATTTAGGCAGATGAGATTCCTCCAGAAAATCTCAGGACGTACAAGAAGCAGAACTTGGAGATTAAGAATGTGGCAAGTGTTCGTGCAAGGTTATACTTAGTGTGTGAAATGTCAACTGAGGACGAACTGTCTGTGATATTTTATGACCTCCTCAGAAAAGGTTGGTAAAGAATTCTGGTTCCATGCTCACCCAAAGATAATTCAATATAATTTCTTTTATCAGTCATCCAGATATATTGTTCAGTGCAAACTAAATTGCAAGTGTTTTAAAAGTTACTTTATTGTGGATAGAAAATGAAGCATCTGGAGATGAGGAATCTGATAATCTGCCATATTGTCAAAAGGAGGCTCTTAGCAGGTGCTGGAGACAGCTGGTGAATGAACTCACAATAGAGGAACTGGTTGAAAGGATGGAAGAGTGGGGAATACGAACTAAAGTACAGCTTGGTGGAGAGCAGGTTATGATAACTGAGTAGAGCAAATGTTAAAAATTATGAAAATTGCAAAATTATAAAATTGGCGAGAGCCTTGCAAAAATTCATTCAACTACATCCCTTTATTTTCAGTCCATAGGTGTCCAGTTTTCAATCAGTCAGAAAATTGAGGTAAAGAATGTTGTGCTTTAATTCGAATTCTTTATATCTTGCTTCAAATTATTGATTAGTTCATATAAAGACAAACAAAACAACATTACCTTTTTTGATGATGAAAGCCACTTGCTAAAATCATCCTTCAGAATGAAGAAACATTGGGTGACAAGGCTCGTCTGATTCTGAAAGAGATCGAGAAGTGTACGTTAGAAGATTTTAACAGTTTTATTATTTGCCTTCGCGAGTCCAATCAACCACATCTCGCTAAACTCCTCACGGATACGGTGGAGAGAATCAGGAAAGAGCCTAAAACTGCTAGTGCTGTTAGACGAGGTAAAAATCGCCAAGAAATTGTAATAATAAGAGTTCTCATGCATGAACGTGAATTGTATTAAAAGCAAAAATCGCAGTAGAGTTTTAGAAGAAAAAACTACTAGTATTACATGTAATTAAATAAGTAAATTATGCTGGTTGAGGGAGTGAATACTTGTCTTATTTGCTCCTTCTTAATTTCAATTTACCAATAATATTTTACCATTTTATTTATTTCGCTCAATCTCTCTAGGCAAAACTAACATGAAGATTCTTGTACGTCGAGATAACGGTCCATGGGTACCCTCTAGTCCTGTGGTTATCCCCGAAAGGCCAGATGATCTCGTGGTCGTTCTACCCCCAGAAGGATGTGAATTCCAGTAAGTAGCATGAAAAAAAACAACAAGAGTTTTCGATTTATTTATTAATATAATTTAGCTTCACGTTATATCCTTTATCACTTTTTATCACATTATAAGATTAACATTTTATGACTAAAATCTATTTTTATTTGATGTAGAATAGTGGTTGTGAATCTGTCAGGTCAAATCATGAAGCGAGATCTATGCAATTTCGCCGACGACATCATTAGTAATGCTAGTGAGAGTAGTACGTCGTTGATCTGCAGACAACATTCAACTCGTCCAGAGAAAATTTCTATCCAGTGTGTTCGTGAGGAAGAGGTTGACTCCAGAATAAGACACTTAAAGGACCATGGGTACACACAGGGAATGCAGGAAGACATTCGATTTGGAATGTGTGATGGTGAAACTTTGGAAATTACCTTTGATCTCAACATAGGTCTAGTGGACATTGGTGAGGATGGGATTTTAAGACTCCACTACTTCGCTTACCTCGACACTGCTAAAATGATTGGAGATTTGTTCCTAGTGGACGAGCGGGCCCAGTCTCAGGAACCGTTGTTCTCTGGAGATCTTCATTACAATGTTGGTTCTATCAAACAACGGCCCCCAAGAACAGGGTGTGTTAGGATCACTCTTCCTAAGGTAAAGTCTTATTTTTCTTTTAAAAAAACTATCATATATTAAGTTTTGCATTTTTATAATCATCACAAAAAGCAATGTAGTAATAGGTTCTGTATAAGAAAATCTTTTTCTGTTGTAGTCAGCAGCACCATATATTGACAGAACACCTTTCCGGATGCTTCATGTTCAGGGTAATGCATAACGTACTATGTACTAGACATTTTTAAATTAACCTGACGATCGATAATCGAAAGGGTAAAACTTGAGTCTTTAAAATAAGTTATGACTTTAACAGTGCAAAACATAAAAAATTTTAATTGGTTCCACCATCCAGCTGTAGCTGATGTCCCAAATGTCGCAGACATACAAAAAATACATTACCCTCGTAAGAGGAAAACATTCATTTGTTCTATAGATGTTTATCCTCTTTTGTAGTTATCGCCCTTGCTAAATATATCGGTTTCCGGATCGGTGCTCTTGGCAGAGATAGTGTCCTCCGCTTTGTTGAATCATTGGTTCATGACGTAGATCTGCGCAGGCGCCTGTACGTTAAAGTACGTCGAGTTTGTAGAGGAAAAGACGACAGAGCACGATGTGAGATGTTTATCATCAACTGGGCTCGGCAACGCCTAAAATTCGAAGATAAAGTAAGAAATAAAGATACTTTTACATAATGATTGCTAAATATATTACAAATCATAATATATTGATATTTTTTGAATGTCATGATATATTTGAAGGTTTTTAAACCAGACATACAGTGCTCTTGTATACTGGTACGTACAGGTAGGTATTTATATTTTAAGGTTGTGTTGCTGCTTTTCATTTTCCCTTTGCCACAAAGTATCCTTGAAGGGGATTCCAGAAGGGCCACGCCCTTACTCGGGGAGATAATTGGGAATTAATGAAAATTTGGTGGCAGATTTTAAAAATCTTCTTCTCAAGGACTGTGCCAGGAAAGATGAAACTTTGCATCTTGTTTTCATTTGTTCCAAAATCAGGTAATTATATAGGAAAATTCTTTAAAAATCTTCTTCTCAAGAATGAAATTTCATAAAAATATTATTTGTATATAGTTCTTTTAAAATCTTCTTCTCAAGAACGACTCTGCCATATTCAGATGATACTTATATATGGAAGCATGCTCAGGTAGTGTAGTTTCAAGTTTGTTCAAATCATGACCCCCGGGGATAGGGCGGGGCCAAAATGGCCGACCAAAGTTTTACATAGAAATATATATGAAAATTCTTTAAAAATCTTCTTCTCAAGAATGACAAAGCCATAATTCATCATATTTATATGGAAGCATGCTCAGGTAGTGAATTCAAGTTTGTTCAAATCATGACCCCCGGGGGTAGGGCGGGGCCAAAATGGCCGAAAAGTTTTACATAGAAATATATAGGAAAATTCTTTAAACATCTTCTTCTCAAGAATGACAAAGCCATAATTTTTTTATATTTGTTACAAATTTGTTCAGCTATGCCCCCAGGTTGTTTTTTAAAGATATATATAGGAAAATTCTTTAAAAATCTTTTGTTCCATGTGTGTGTTTAAACTTTACACCATTTTCTAATTAGTGCTCATTTGGCACCTCTTGTTACATTTATGTCTTGCTTTGTAGCATCTTTTGTTTGTGTGTGTCAACAAATTGTATTTCACCGCGTTTTATTCAATCTGATATAATATTGTTTAATTGTTTTAGGCATCCTCTGTGACCATTATTTGCAAAAAATGTCGGAATTCATAGGAGAGGAATGGATAACTTTGGGAAGAAAACTCTGTATCCCTGATCGGGACCTAAATCTTCTTAGAATAGACTATAAAGACAAGGCATTGAGAAATTTCAAACTCTTGGACACTTTCAGATTTTCTCGAATCGCCATCGAACAAGGAACCAGCGTGATCCGGTTTTTGCTGCGGGCCAGTAAGAGTGCCGGGTGCAGCGCTGGCTTGATCACTTTTATTCGGTACATCGCGGGAATTTTCAGAGAACTCACCTTCATGAGGCCTCAGAGCTGGATGAGCATGAGTTCCGCTATGCCATCGGTAGAAATCACGTAAAAATAGGAGCTCTGTTCGTTCATCTTCACTAAGTTTTAATGATTAAATTGATATTTAATCCGGACAGGTTAATATAAAAGTTAAAATACAATAGGTATTATCCAACTGCCGTTAACAGTGTAAATCTCTGGGGGAATGTATGGTAGCAACTGATAGTTATGGCACGCCAAATTCACAAAAATGAGCTAAACATAGTTTTACAGTTGATAAACTAGGTTTATCGACTGTAAACTATAGTTTACAAACCGTTAACTATAGTTAACAATTCGTGAACTTTAGTTTTCATATGTAAAACTATATTTAACGATATTTAATGCTAATCTAAGTTTATCTGTCTGTAATAAAGCGTTAACAATATAAAACATAGTTCAAAACTATAATTTACAATCGTAAACTATAGTTAAGAGTTGTTGATTATCCAACTGCTATATTTATCAGTTAACAGTTAACTATAGTTAAGAGTTGTAAACTATAGTTTACAAAACGTGAAACTGTATTTATCAGATAATCTATGTTTTGCAATCGCAAATGATTGTTTTCGGTGTTAAGTATAGTTTACGGTTGTGAAACATAGATTATCGCGTTAACTATGTTTACAGATGTAAAATATAGATTAACTTAACTATAGTTTACAACCGATAAACCTGGTTTATTGATTGTGAAACTATGATTATCTCATTTTTGTGAATTTGGCGTGCCATAGATAGTAGTATCTGTTTAAAGCTTGTAACATGTAGGTTTTTTGCTCTTTGAGGCTTGATTTTCACAAGGGACAATGGAAACGTGAAATTAAGTTAATATTTGAAACGTTTCGTTGTAATGAAAATCCTTCATTTCAAGCTCATCCTACCTTTATTTCATCCGGTTTCGTGAAGAATACATCGATTAACGAAAATTAATCCATACGTTAACTGGGGTAGCGTGTCAGTAGAGCATTCCAGTACAGTTGTATAGAAAACATCAGATTACTTCTCTGTCAATGTCTCCGTACGAATGTTTAGTACAGCACACCTTTTCAACAAATTTCAAATTTACTAGACATCTAGGGCATTTTGGGATTGTTTGATGTTCACATTTGATATATGAACCTGAAATATCAGCTAGAAATATCGCCCATGTGCTCTCCAAGCAAAGAAAGCACAAGGAGGAAAGTTACAGGTCTTCGAAAGAACTTTCAGGACCCATTGAAATATCATGAAACAGACTTTATTTCAATCATCCATAACTCTAACGTGGAGAAAATAGCAATGTACTCCTAGAATATATGTATTTCACAGCTTGAAAATCAGGGGATGTTGATATTCGTACGTCTTATGTCTGGGGGAACTAATCTCTTATCCGCAACTCTAGATCTTCCTACCGTATATACCACTGCCTTTCACTAATTAACAATTCTCAATTCTCAATCAGTAGTCATCTACTCATTGACAATTGAAAATTGTTAATTAGAGAAAGACACCATTGAAAAAAATCATTATTTTGAGACTTTTAAAGAATCTTGAATTAATTGGGCAACTTCTATTTTATATTTTTAGAAGACACATATTTGGGGTTTCTCAAAGCAAAATATGAACAATACCATTCTTTCTATAATGTCGGGGTATCTGTGCCGTCACGGGGTACAGTATCTTTTTCTTGTCCACAACTATTCTCTCATCGATTAGAATTATTATTACGCAGTGCCATTTTATACCTAGATCCTATAAAATATTTTGATAGGACACATATTTTTGCTGTTCAGCAGCAAAACATAACATTTTTCAGGGGTACTGTATCATTTTTTGAGCTCATTGCTCACATTATACCTCGTTTATTATGCCCTCCTTTGAAGAAGGGAGGGCATATTGCTTTGCTGCTGTCGGTCCACCAAGTTTCCGTTAATTTTCTGCGCAGCGGTTGCACATAGTGAAATGAATTGTTATACAGATTTGTCATGAGAATATTTAGGTCAAATTCTGTTTTGGGTACGATCGCGCCATTTTTTGACAGAGTTATGCCCCTTGGTAAATTGCTAATCTCTAAACGTAAAAAAAAAGTACACTCTACTTGCACAAAAAAGTATGGCTGTCGTTTACAGGGAATTCACATATTTTGAAAGAATTTATAGGTTTTTTTTTTCTTTTTTTATTATAAGGGGTGGGGTATCAACACTTCAGGTGCCTGTCTATTTAAAAAAATAATAAAACATATTTTCAAGCAAAACTATAATCAATATTAATTATCATTTAAATGTAGATAGAAAGATTTTAAAAGTGTTAGAGTATTGAGAGTTCAGAAATCTATTTCCCCCCTCTCTCTCTCTTCCAGAAAAGAAGAATACATTAAAAGATCAATGACAGTAACTGGGCTAGTGTGTCAGTAGGGCATAAAAGTGGGGGAAACCTTGTCATTGATCTTTTAATGTATTTTTTTTCAGTTTCTAGTGTTACAGTGAAACGTACAAATTTTTAATTACGGGTATATGGTTCCCTTCGAGAAGGTTTTTCCTTTTTCATTTTTAGTGGTTATAGAAGACACTCTTAGAATCGATTAAAAGTTAGGAGGAAAAAATGGAGGGTTGTATTTTGTAGATAGTATTTATTCTTTAATAAATATTCAATTTTGAAAGTCCAACTTATGATGATAGGCAACAAAATTGTCCGTATTCCATATCTTATAAATACTCAAGAGTAAGACTGAACAAAAGATTATTTTAATTCCAATATCCCCTTATAAAGTCTAAACTCTGTGCCCTTTTTCTTTGCAACTTTCTTTACAACTTATTTATAATTTAATTCAAAAAGTCTTTAAATGAAGCTTGAAAATTAAATCTTTTCATGTAAAAATTTTCATTATATGCCTCTCAATGTGCTTCAAGGTTCTTTAAACTTCTCAGAAAGGTCTAATTAAAAGTAGAAATTTTTATCCCGAAAAAGCAATTTAGATACCAATGTTTATTAACATGATAAAAATTTTATGGAGCTTTGCAAAGAACTTGAAACACAAAAAAAATTGTTGCAAAAATATGAAATTCAAGCAATTAAATTATAAATTAAAGAGTTGCCCTTGCTGGCTGAGGGTCAGAGTCCCTTAATTAGACATTGTCTTCATATGTATTATAAATACGTTTTTTACATTTACACACACACACACACACTCTCTCTCTCTCTCTCTCTCTCTCTCTCTCTCTCTCTCTCTCTCTCTCTCTCTCTCTCTCTCTCTCTCTCTCTCTCGTGGATTTATCGGGAAGCATACTTCGTTATTATTTTTTCAAAATAATTGACAAAGTAATTTAAAGATGGTCTGGAAAGGCATTCCAAGCAAAAGAACACCAAATACATAGCCAAAAATGTAAAAAGAAGTTTATACGTGAGTGGGTGGGGGCAACATACCTAACCGTATTGTCCTTCTACCAATGAAAATTTCAATACATTTTATAATACATAGTCAAATATTATGCAGTACCCCTAAGTAAATTAAAATAGAACATTTTACTTATATTGTCAATTCATCTGCAGAAGAACATTGCACTTTTTTATGATAGTAAATTTTTTTTTATATGTACACATATCGGTAAAGAATGATTAACATAAATATTTTCTTTTTTCCCAAGCTTTTGTTTTTTTTTTTTTTGTCTTTTCTTTTCGTGGACATTTTGAGGCATTGAGCGCGAGTTTATTTTTATAATATTTGTATTTTTGTGTGCGATTCACTTTTTTAAATACTTACATTACTATTTGACCCTGTTTGTATAAAATACTCTATGTACGGAAATATCAAATTGTTATTTTTAATAACATTTAATAGATATCAAACTTATTTTTTATACTGTATTTGTGGAAATAGCAATTTTTAATGTTTAATAATACATATGAAATTAACATTCAATTAATTCTTCAATTAATTCAGCAAACTTTTTTTTCTAGATGAAATATATAATTTTTTTTTAAAAAATACCGTTTTTTAACTGCCAAATAAAAATTCAGAAACAGCTTGATAATTTCTCTCCTCGGCGAAAAACCAAACAGGTATGCATGAACTCAGATTTATGAAGCACCTGAGCAGGTGTAAGAAGATTAATACAAGTTGTGCGTTCAGGGTTAACTCTTGACAGGGGGTTGAATTTCAGTCACTCGCCGGTCATTGTGCCAAGCTGAAGTAAAAAGCAAACAAATCTTTATGTTTTGAAGATGCATAGTTTTTCAACAGAAGTTCACATGTATCAATTTTTCTGCACGTGAATCTGGTTTCGCAATTAATAGTTTATAGTAATATCCCGGTTTACTCTATTAATTAAGAGACTGGTCAGCAAAATGCCCTGTATATTTAATTTATTTATAACTGACCAAACCAAACTGGCAGCTGCCTAAACAAAATAATGATTAGCCGGAGAAAACGAATAAATATTTAGCATTTTTGGACTCTCCGCTCCTATCGCTGTTGAAGATTGGAGGCTAGCTTGGCTGTCATTCAAAATGGGTGGAAGTGCTTAAGTGTCTATAAAGAACGCCTTGACACTGTGTATCCTTTTATTCATCTGTTCTCTTCATGCGTGTAGGACATCTTCATTCCACTGTCGCCGGTGGTCATTGGACAACAACAAAATACGTTGCGCAACTGTCGGACGGCTCGACTGCGGTAACAATTTTAGCTGTCTACAAGGTGTCGCTGAGACATTGTCTTTAAAATATCTCCTTAAAACGGGAAAAAAATGTTGGGAATCACTTCTGTGCTCCCCGTTCCTTTAACAATTATTCTGGTAATAATTCTTGTTGTGTGTGCCTTTGTTCTGTTTCTTCAACATCGGGAAATAACAACCACCGCTCCGGGACCATTTGCCTGGCCCGTTTTTGGAAATTTACTTAGTCTAGGAAAAAAACCACACGAATATTTGACATCCCTACGCTCTGTTTATGGGGATGTATTCCAGATCAAAATGGGGAGCCACACGACGGTGGTGATCAATGGACTTAAGGCCATGAAACAGGCATGTATAAAACAAGCGGAGGACTTTGCAGGTAGACCGGATTTTTATTCCTTCCATTACATTGCTAACGGCAAAAGTATGGGTTTCAGTGACTATGGACCAAGATGGAAGCTTCATAGGCGTATCGCGCAAAATGCCTTGGCCAATTTCACAAATAAAAGGCATAATCCCATAGAAGAAGACATCACCCAAGAGGCCGAATTTTTGACAGCAAACTTTCTCAGTACTCCGGGTAAACCTGTGAATCCTCACAATGAGATTTATCTGTCTATTGGAAACATCATCTGTGCACTGTGTTTTGGAAAGAGATATCAGCGAGATGATCCCGACTTCATGCAGTTGGTGAAAAATAACGACGAATTCATGGCCTTCGCTGGTGCCGGAAATCCAGTGGACATTATGCCATGGATGAGACATTTTACCAAACGATCCTTCAACAAGTTTGTAAGCATCTTGGAGACCATGAATAAATTCAGTCTCAAAAAGCGCCAAGAACATCTTGACACGTATAATCCAATGCATTTGCGTGATGTCACTGACGCCCTGATTAAAATGACGGAAGACATCAGCGAAGAGGAAAAAAGTTCTGTGGGACTTACAGACGAACATATCTTAACCACCGTCCAGGAACTTATAGGGGCTGGGTTTGACACCATCGCAAGCACTTTACAATGGAGCGTATTATTCATGGCAACAAATCCGGAGTATCAGGAAATGGTACATGCTGAGATTCGGAAAGTGGTCGGAATGGATTGTTTCCCATCCATGGACGACTATCCATCACTTCCCTTCACAGAAGCGTGCATTATGGAAACCATGCGCCATTCATGTATATTCCCCTTTGCACTTCCTCACAGCACAACAAAAGACACTGAACTGGATGGCGTCTTCATCAAGGCTAAAACCCTGGTTTTCTTAAATCTTTGGTCCATTAATTACGATGAAGAAATCTTCCCTGAGCCGACAGTTTTTAATCCTTATCGGTTTTTGGACTCTGACGGTAATGTCAATCGTTCTGCCGTCGATCTGTTCATGCCGTTCGGCGCCGGAAAACGACGCTGCCCTGGAGAACAACTCGGTCGCATGGAAATTTTTTTGTTCTTCACTATCATGATGCAGAGATGCAAGTTTAGTGTCATTCGAGGGAAAGTTCCCGTTGTGGACAGTAAATATGGGTTGACTTTAAAACCGAAGGATTTTGAAGTGTATGTGTCAGCAAGAACATAAAAATAAACATTCAATGCATGTAGAACTGAAAATAATAATTATTCTTAACGTTGATATAGTCTTTCTTTCGTATTAACAGTATGGTATGTTGTGACAGGCTATTTGATAATAAATATATTCTGATTTAAATTCACAGTGTTGTCCTTTCATAATAAAAAAAAATTAATTTGAAGTTTTTTACTATTTGTAAGATCTTTATGATTGATGGTTGCAATTTCGTTCGTCACTGAATTAAAAATAAAGTTGAATTTGGAAGTTTCTGAAAAATGATATTTCCATTTCACAAAAAAGACCATAAAATTAATAAATCCAAAAAATACCATTTTTAAGCTCTGTCCAAAACCTTCGAAATATAGTTTTTCTTAAAAAGTCGAGAGAATAATAGTTATTTTAGTAGAGATCTATCAAAGTTGTTAGAATCTATTTACATTTTAAAGATTTCAATAGTAACAGCAAATCAGAAGACTGATGTAATCAAAATATGTTGTAATCCATCTTAGAAAAAATTTCTTCAATTATACATATACACATCTTGAATACAAACATCGTCGCAATTAAACCATGGCCAAAATGTTCGATCCTCTCCCATTAGGAGAGAGCTATATGCGGACTCCGGGCCGTGGATTGAGACGATGAAATACACAATGTGCAGATTTTGCTTGTGTAAAAATACTTTTAAAATATCTATATTTTAGTCCGTTTAATTTATCTAAAGTTGACGTTTGTGAAAAATTATGATACAATTTACCTTAATATTTTTTTTAATGCATGAAAATGTGACTTTGCATATCCGCACATATGATTTCAAGTGCTTCATGAGAAATAATAGACAATTAGTCATATCTCCCTTTAATTTTGTTAAAATAATTATTTATTTGATTGAGTAATTATTAATTCATAATAATGTAAATACTAGTAATAACCTTTTCAAATGTATAATACCTAAGGTACTGTATTAGCGATTGGAAACTAAACCTCGCAAGTAAGCTTTTATACTGAAAAAGAATAAAATTAAATAGCAGTAGTTAAATTATGCCGAAATAAGGGATTGACACTATTTCCTTTTAATCGTTATCTATCTTAGAGCAGAGACCTAAAGCTTCTGTTTTATGTCTATGCTTAGAGTCAAAGCATCTTTTCAAGTGAAATGAGTTTGCTTCTTAGTTGTTGTTGTTGTTTTTAATTTTAATTTAATCCAAGATAAACGAGGACCTATCATCATTCTTCGAAAAAAAAATTGTCAAGAAAATAAAAAAGGAAATTGTCAAACTCTCTCTATCATTGGTCTTCGTGTCTATGTTTACCATGCAGAGGTTGGGATCCTTGGGATTTGCTCCTGACAAGAAGATTTATTTTCTTGCCAGTTCAGCTCAGTAATACGTCTCTCCTGTGTATATGGAGCACTCGAAAAGATAGTGTAAAAAGAGAATCAACATAAAAGAATAAAGGGATGTAAAACAGTTAAAGTAAAACCTGATCTACAGTGTACTACTGTGCAATGAAAAATAAACTCATTATTATCAGAATTTATAAAGAAACTCAACTTTAAAATAAAAAGAGCAATTACAGATTGTACATCAGCATGCGTTATAAATATGATTCTTTCGATATTAAGATAGGGCTACATCAAAAGTTACTTATTTAAGATTTTGGAGATGTAAGACTGAAGGGGGGGTTAATTCAGTAGCGAATACCATGTTTAGGGTCAAGCTTATCCCTGGAATTTCAAATAAGATTACACATGTATTCATTTCCAACATCTGCCACCTTCTTGCTTCAGAATCAAATGGTCGCACTTTTTATATTAGTACTGTCTGTCTCTATCGACTATCGCACGAAAGTCTATCAATGAATTATAATCGGGTTCGGAAAACCAACAATTGATAAACATAGGAAGTAAGTGACCCTGACCTTCGTTATCGAGTCATATCTCAGGTATGTTGATATTTATAATATTACGATGTTAAAGTTGTTAACGTAATAAGTGTGGATCGCAGTGTTTAGTTTGACTCTTAGAAAAATATTTTAAGTTATATTTGTTTTTAAATTGACACCATTTAGGAGTTTAGCGTACATTGATCATTATAACACACCTTGTATTCAAATTTAAGGCCGCCATTTTTTTTTTTTTACCTGCGTAAAGGTAAGTTCAAATTTTAAAGATTTTCTGTATTGGATTTTTGTTAAGAGATTTTTATTGCATACAAAAGGTTTGGATTGCACATGTAAATTATGTATGAGATTTGTATACAATGTGCTAGCGTGGTCAGAAAAAATTGTTGAAAAAGAGTAGATGATTCACTGTACACTTCCGCTTTTTTGTTTACACTGAAAAAGTTGGAAATAATATTATTTTATTGTCAACTCTGGAATAAGTTTCGTTTACAACTAATATTATAAGCATCGACATTAAAAAAAAAAGATTTGTTTGAGGTAATGATGATATTTTTCTCCGTTTTGAGGAGAATAGTTTTGGTAGTGTTCAGTTTTGCAATTTAGGTAAAAATTGTCAAAGAGAAAGGGTCCGAAGAAAAAATGCTTTTTTTAAAGGAAGGTTATATATATTATCAACTCAGCTGATATTTTGTTTGAATTATAAAATAAGGTTAGCTATTACTTCTAAGCAATAAACGATGATTCAATCTGTAAATTATTATTTTGATTTTAGGCCACACAGATGCAGGTGTAAACATGTGGCTGTTAGCAATCACCCTTGCTGTCCTGTGGACATCTGTAGACACACAGGACAGAAAAGCTATCATAGACAACACCAGTGGTTACAAAATGGAGAGGGCACCGTATGTAGATTAATTTAATTTAGTTAGTTGTCATGAAAAGTGGATTAGATTCTTAGAAATAGATCAACAGCTGCTTGCATCCAAGATAAATCTGTTAATTTAATGGGTTGTTTTGTTTTTTTTAGTAAATATTCCCAAACTTTCACAATTTTTATTTTTGGAACACAAGTGAAAATTTTAAGAAAAAAATGACACTTACTTTTTTAAGCTTACTAAAATGTATGTAATAGCTTTTATGTCTAGAGGCATTAAGTTAACATACACTCAAAATTTTATGCAACTTCTTTTTCAGAATTTATATGGTCATCACACCAAATGTTGTAAGACCTAATGAAGTTGTTCAAATTTTTGGAACAATTCTAAGAATGAATGATTATCCATACATTGATTTAAAAGTCTCCATAGTACAAGATAAAGTAGCTTATGCAGAAATTGCCACAAAGTTTGAACGGCCTGGCAGCAGGCTTATGCAAATGAAGGTAGGTATACTGCAGTTTTGTACTTTTTTTAAACCTTTACAAGCAATAATAAATTGATAATGTATACATGTGTAATAGATAATGGAACCCTTTCCAGTTAAGAGTTATTACCAGTCATACACTGTTAGTATTATTAAACAGAATTATTAAGGAAATGCAATGGTTATGTTTGACATCTAAATGCATGAGTTTTAAGTTTTTCATAGAAAATAAAAGAAACAAAACTAAATCAGTAATAATTGATTAATAATGTTCCTTACCAGATGCCTTCAAATTCCTTGAGAGGCCATTATCGACTGAGAGTGGAGGGGAAAGCGGGAGACTCAGGAAATGTTTTCTTCAATGAAACTGACATTGGCTTTGATCCCAAACAGGCCTCTGTGTTCATACAACTGAGTAAACCCATCTACAGGCAGGGACAAAATGGTAGGTACCCAAAGCGGCAAATATTCTTTTTATTGATGAAATTAAGTGGAAACTAAATTGAAACAAAACCCTGGATTTATGGGGTTTTTTTTATGAATAAATGAATACACGACTAATGTTTTACATGTAATTTTTTTCCTAGTGTCATTTCGAGTTCTTCCCATTAAGCAGAATATGATGCCTAGATATGGAAGTATGACTATATATGTTAAGGTAGGTGTATTTTAACCTTATTAATAAAATCCTCTGTCTAATGTGTACCTTAATCATTTTAGGAAAGAGGTATATACACAAATATCCCCTTTCCTTTATTTTAATAGGACCCCACTGGATACCCCGTCAGAAGGTGGCTGGCTGTACAAACAAATGCCGGAGGTAAATATTGTGCCTGACACTTTGCTGTATATTCTATAAATAACTATTTTTCTTTATATGTACATGTTTTGCTGTTCTTTACATTGAGATTTCTGATTTACATAAAATATTGTTGAATATTATAATATCAGTACAATGAGTTACTTTTTGTCTATCTTTCAATTAAGTTTTATATTTTCAGGTATTGTCAGCCAAAGTTTCATGCTCTCAGATCAGCCAAACTATGGAAACTGGACCATTCAAGTCGACGGATATGTATGTACAAACTGTTATCTGACTGTATACAAAAAGATATCATATTTGTAAATGGTGACAGAGAGGAAGTTGCATTTCATTTATTGATTTTGTTCATTACAGGGGTTTACATATTACAAGAATTTCTTGGTAGAGGAATACTGTAAGTGTTATTTTACAAAAAGTTTTTTTTTTTGATCTGTCTAAATTTTAATTACTGAAAACTTGAAAATATTTTATGATTAAAATTTAATCTGATTCAAATTAATATTTTATTATTCAGTTCAACTTATTAACATCAACAGAAACTGAATGATTGCATAAATATTATAGGGGACCCCAGATTTGATGTCAATGTAACAGTGAAGTCATATATAATGGACAATGTGAAGACAGTGGGAGGAATCATTATGGCTAAGTATGGGAGAAATATAAATGAAATAATACTCAGATTTTTCTTTCTCATCTGTGTACAGTAATTTTTTTTTACACGAAAGAAATTAAAAATTCCACTGGAATTAGTTAACAAATTGCTTTCGTATGGATATGTTATATCTTCCTTTTTTTGCATATATTTAATAAATTTTTTTAATTTCATTTCATTTCAGCATGACAACTGGTAAACCCATAGAAGGAAATGCCTCTGTTTTATTAACAGTCAAAGAGCCTCCCCCAAAACAGGACTCGTTTGGTAACAACAACGGATTTATCAATAACTTCATCCCAAGATCCTTTACCATCCAAAGATCACTTGGATATGTAAGTGATTTCTTTTTTGTAAGAAATTTGTTTACAGTCAAAATTCAAAGTTTTTCTTTGGTTTATTGGAAGTTAAGTAATTGTGTTTTGAAGTTACAGAGCTACAAAAATATTGAAAAGATAAATAATTCCATCCCCTATTTACATACCTGGACATTTTTGTTTGTGATGGAAGTTTTTTTAAACAGATGAACACAAATATAGTATTCAGTTTGTCATTATTTCTATCAGGATTTTTGGTGTTAATGTTCTTCCACATTATTTTGATTTTAGGTTAAAGGTCCTATTAACTTTGAATTCAATATGGATGAGATCAGAACACGAGTTAGGAATGAGTTTGGATTGTACAATGGTTATGATGGAGTAGAACTACACTTCAATGCCACGGTGTATGACTGGTTCTTCAGAATGACCAGGGCAGGCTATGCCAGTACTGTGTTATATAGGTCAGGGGTCAAACTCCAGTGGGTCGGAGATAGGGTCAGGACCTTTAAACCTGAAAGTGTTTTGACTGTCCAGGTAAACTAGACTTATTCACTCATGGTTCACTGCTTAGAATTCATTTTAAAACACAGAGTTCAAAATCAAGATCAAAACAGTATAATAAGGAAGGTTTTCTTAAAGTATGACATGTTGCAAAGTGAGAATGTTAAAATACACAAGTACTCTGTGCTGAAAGATACAGACTAGATGAAAAGTGAATATATGTATGTATTAGGTTGCTGTGATGAAATATGATGGCACCCCCGTGGCCAGTAGCAGCAAGGTCAGGCTCTCTCTGAGCCCCACCTATGTCAGTGGTATGTCTGGTTCTATTCCTTATATGGCGTCGGCCAAAGCGCCCAGCGGAGGAATCGCTGAATTTAAAATCACCATGGACAATGCTCTGAGGAGTCTATTAATACAGGTAACCTTACTGTCCAACACAATCATTAAAATTTACAATGAAGCCATTTTTAAAGCTTTGTTATTTTTCCTTTTTGAAAGATTAGGTCTGCAAAGTGTTTCTATACTTTTATGACTACTGAAGTTTTTTTTAAGTCATAAGTTTGATTCAAAGTCATTACAGTGTTCCTTGTATTTTAAAGAATTTAAATACTACTGCTTAAAGACAGTTGATTAATGTAACAAAATTGAAAACATATTGATAAATGTATCTTGACTGAATTCTTACTTTCCAGGCCACTTGGGAGGGAGATACAACCACCCCCATGATAGATATGATGGCCTATCGGTTCTACTCCCCGAGTAAGAGATACATCACCTTGTCAACCTCCACCAGTAGTCCTAAAGTCAACACTTACATGTTATTCCACGTCAAGACCAGCATGTATGTTCCACGGATTTACTACCAGGTCAGGACATTTATAAATAAAGGATTTTATTTTTACTTGTTTAGTCAAGTTTAATTTAGTCCAATGTACACAAAGTTGTACACAGGCTGTGTGCAATGGTTGATAAAAATAGAAGAATCTCTCGGTTTAAAATTCTTTAAGATTGCTTCTCCTATTAAGGTTTTGATTTTATTTCAATTTTGATACAAGCTAAGAACATATCAGATTATAATTATTCCAGGAATGCTTTTTTTGTAAAATGCCAGGCAGATTGCAGCTTTCTCTATTTCCATTAAATACAATGGACTTTTAAAGCTGCAGTTAATCAGAATTCCAGTTGTGAAAAGTAATCAAGCAAATATATTACTTTCATACGCAGGTTGTTGGAGGTGGAAATATTATTGTTGGAGAGGAACTAGAAATGATTTCCAGAAGGAAGTCATTTGCCATCGCCCTCTCACGAGATATGGTGCCCACGGCTCGAGTGGTGGTGTATTATCTCGCTGGTCAACCAGAGGAAATTGTAGTTGACTCATTAACTTTCTTTGTGGATGGAACTGGTAATAATAAGGTGGGTTTTACTCCTTATCTCTTTGTTTTATTTATTAGATATACCAGCCTTAATTGAATTAAAATATAAAAATAATAAATCCTCTTTTCAAAGGTGAAAATTAAGTATGTTTAAAGTAATTCAATAGGTTATTGATGTTAATTTGCATATTGCATGGTTACTAGTTATTCTTTTCAGTTAAGCAATATGAAAAGTGTACAGGAATTCTCATTTATATTGTTGTTTTCCTTTATCAGAATGTTTAACATGTAAATTTAAATGTTTAACCATTTTAGGTTGGGGCGGTTGTGAATCGTGGTAAAGACTTCACTCGAGACACTGTGGAGATTTTGGCCACTGCTGACAAGGGGGCATATGTAGCCTTCGCAGCTATTCCTCTTGATCTGTATAAACGAGGACTTAACGACGGACTTAATCATTGGACTGTGAGTAAATTCTTTTTACTTTGGTTTCATTGCAAGAAGGAATATAAATGTAAAAATGTTTTTATTTATTTGAAGTGAGAGGTATTATCAAGTGCTTGCTATTTTCTGATAATATTTTCATTAATGAACAAAGTGAAAATTGTTCAATTGTACATGGTTACCTGGTGGCTATTCTACATCTGTTTAAAACTGTGGTAAACAGGTATTAAGATAAAAAATTTTCAAGTATTCACCTTTAAACCTTCATGTATTTCTGTTATTTTGTAGATAATTGATGAGTTAAACACCTATGATTCTGGTCGTAAGAGCTGGCAGCATTTGTGGAGAAAGAGTGAAGTGGAATATCAGTATAAGTTCTACACTGCCAGCGGCCATGGTATTGATGCCAATACAACATTTAGGGTAAGGCTACCATTGAACTGATGCCAAGTAACGCTTAACACACTTATAATGATCTCTTAATCATGAGGTACATTTGTATCTTCTAATAGCAAATTTTTAATTAACAATGTATTTAAATAATGAAATTGATTATTTTGGCTTTATTTTACAGGATGCTGGTTTGCTAGTTATGTCTGATCTTACAGTTAATAGAGTCCCCATAACAAGTAAGTATCAATTCCTTAAATAAATATGATATTGTTAACCAACTATGTAACTACTCAGAAGTATTTGCAGCATTTTTTTAAGTTTCTCGATTTTGGAATCTATCTGCGACTTCAAATTTTGCATGACCAAGGCAACATTCTACATAAATATATATATTGTATTCAAAGCAATTTGAAGTTGGTACCCAGCATAGAATTTCCTTCTAGGCTAACATGCCATTCAAAACTTTTCCTCTATATAGCAGCTTCACTCTTGTTTATAACCATGATGTCTAAAAAAATATTTCTGTTTGTGAATCCATTCAACTTGACCATATCTTTTGAATTACATGTACTTTAATTTCTGAAGTTTGTTGAAATACTGATTTTTTCTTTATACCTACTTCTTTCTTTAGGTGCTGAAATTAAGTGCTATGAAGACCCTGAATATTTACCATGTTTTACTGGAGAATCCTGTTACCATAGAAACTCCTCATGTGACAATATTAAAGATTGTCCAATGGATTGGGCTGATGAACAGAATTGTAAGTTTCCTTGGAATGGGATGCATAATTCATCCATTAAAGAAGAACTATTGCATGAAATAGAACTAGATATATGGTGATTTCTTTCAGTTAAATTATTCCCTAAATCCAAAGATGTTGAATCTTCAAATATTCAAGTTTTCAGCAAAAATATTTAACTGTTACAATAGTCTTTCTACATCTATGACATGTATGAAATCTTCTTATTTTTTTAAATATAGAATACTAAGTGTCAGTAAAAAAAAAATTGAACTCTGTATTTTTCTCTTTGTTTAAAGGTCCATTGGAGGATCCCAGAAATGACAACATGACCATCAACATGATTAACAGAGTCAGTCGTGTGTTGAGGTTCTATGAAGACAGCACATGGGCGTGGCAGGAAACCTTCACAAAGTAGGTGAATTTGTAGAAAGAATATTTACTGTACTAATTATACCCCCCGCAAACGAAGTTTGGGGGGGTATATAGGAATCACCTTGTCCGTCTGTCTGTGCAAACGTGTCCGGTCCATATCTTTCTTACGGAGGGACATTAGAATCTACTACTCCACACAAAGATTGCCCATGACCTAAGGGTGTGTCATGAGCTTGACCCAAGGTCATTTGGGGAAGTTCAAGGTCACTGTAAGAAAAAGTTCATAATTCATGTCTGGTCCATATCTTTCTTACAGATAAACTTGGTAGGTTCTCATTTCACACAAAGATTGCCCATGACCCAAGGGTGTTTCATGACCATGACCCAAGGTCATTTGGGGAAGTTCAAGGTCACTGGAAGAAAAAGTTCATAATTCGTGTTCGGTCTACATCTTTTTTATGGATAAACTTGGTAGGTTCTCATTTCATGCAAAGATTGCCCATGACCCAGGGGTGTGTCATGACCTTGACCCAAGGTCATTTGGGGAACTTCAAGGTCACTGGAAGAAAAAGTTCATAATTCGTGTCCGGTCCATATCTTTCTTATGGATAAACTTGGTAGGTTCTCATTTCACCCAAAGATTGCCCATGACCTAAGGGTGTGTCATTACCTTGACCCAAGGTCATTTGGGGAAGTTCAAGGTCACTGTAAGAAAAAGTTCATAATTCATGTCCGGTCCATATCTTTCTTACAGAAAAACTTGGTAGGTTCTCATTCTACACAAAGATTGCCCATGACCCAAGGGTGTGTCATTACCTTGACCCAAGGTCATTTGGGGAAGTTCAAAGTCACTGGAAGAAAAAGTTCATAATTCATATCCGGTCCATATCTTTCTTATTGATAAACTTGGTAGGTTCTCATTTCACACAAAGATTGCCCTTGACCCAAGGGTGTGTCGTGACCTTGATTTAAGATTATTTGGGGAACTTCAAGGTAACTGGAAGAAAAATTTCATAATTCATGTGTGATACATATCTTTATTATGGAAAAACTTACTTCTGAAAAACCCGGTGGGGGTATTTTGTCCCGTTTGGACAGTTCTAGTTGATTTTAAGTATGGCACCTTCAATCAAACTCTTAATAGGACATTATAAAAGAGTTTTTAAGTCTGCTGATATGGATATGTGTGTATGATTGGTCCAGTACAACAATATGTTACAAAGAACTTACATGTAAATTGTGCATAGTGAGATGTCTTGATATTGTTATTGCAATAAGTACAAGTATTTAAACATGTGTATATTCAATGGGTTTTTTTTTCACGCTCAGGCCTGATGGTGAGGTAGACTTTAGGATTACTGTCCCCAAATATCCCCTTACCTGGGTCATACATGGAGTGTCCATGAGTCGAAGTTCAGGCCTCGGGATCCAGCCCACACCTATACAGGTATCAGTATTATCATTAACAACTAGAAAGAATGTATTCTAAAATGATGCAGAAGCTTTTATCGGATTATATTAGAAAAGTCATTAACAAGCTGTTTGGATGTTACATATCTTTGCCAGTTTTATATTTGCAATGAGAATAATTTTTTTTAAAAAGATAAGGTAGGAACTTTAAATGTGATTGTTTCCCTTCTTAGTATGATGCCACGCGGTACATGTACATCATTGTGGAGTGTCCAGAGCACATCATCAGGGGAGAACAGGTGGGAGTCCGAGTTACCGTGTTCAACTACTGGTATGGAGACGAGTTCATAGAGGCAAGTCATTTACAACATCTACTAAACATGTAAATTCATGATAAAGAACACAATTATATTGTGTTATTAGTTGTTTTCTGTATAAAGGTACATAAACCCTCTGCTCACTCATATAAAATGTTGCTTGAACATTAATGATTTTCCAAAAGAAATGTATTTTATAAGTAAAATACATACAATTGTAGCATAGATAGTGGGGCAAAATTGGGGAAAAAAAGACACCTCAACTTGGCAAATCTATAAAGGAATAATAGATATTAATGTCATAGAGTTATCTCTCTTATCAGAGTATCAGTGAACCTTAAATAGTATGCATGAGATACTTGTCATGTTTAGTGACTTACTAGTGAATATTGTAAGCAATAATACCATTGTATATGTTATGTATGGTGACTGACTTTTGACATACACTGTATCTTCTACAGGTGCTTGTGACAATGGAGGGGTCTCCAGACTACGACTCTGTACTGGTAGGAGATGAAGGCTTTGTACAGTCCTACTCACCAAAAAGACACAGTGGGGACCACCAAACTATCGTATTCGTAAGTTATAATTATTCCCATACCTCTCAGTTGTAAAATAAGCTGCATTACATTGTCTTTATTGTGCAAAGTTGTGGCATTTTGCACTATTTACACCTACATTTCATTACTTTGCACAGATGTGAGATTGTTTTTCCCAAAAAGCTAGATAGAGATAAAAAAAAATAATAATTTAGTACAGATATTTTTTTGCAATAAAATTTTCTGTCATCTTAGGATGATCTGTTTGTGACTTTGTAAATGACTGTTTATGAGTTTTGGTTATTGTTTTTGATTTTGTCAGTTGGAGCCAGGAGAATCTAAGGACATCTTTATGCCTATTGTCCCTAACATGGTACAGGGTAACCTGACCTTCACAGTCAGTGCCTGGTGCTTCCTGGAGAGAGACACAGTCAGTAGGACCATCTACATCACGGTAAGATATTTATTGATATACTGTGAACCAACTTTTATTTGCATGCGAGAAATATTCGCAAGTTTCGCAACCTACATGTACTTTAAATCGCAAATATTAAAAGCCGCAAAGCATTTATTTTGCTTCGTTTTTGTAGAAAATGTTTCCTTATTCGTGAAAATTAATCAAAGCGATTGGTTTCAAATTGACGAATCGTGAATAAAAGATGATGCCAAGATTAGTTGGTTTACAGTATAACAATCTAAATCTTCTAGCATGCTGCTCAGTAGTTATTGTACTTTTGTTGAAATTTCATTTGTTTTAAGAAATTCTGTTTATAACATATGATTTTTTTTCTTCTCGGCAACAAGAATGAGATGATGTATTTTTTGAAAATCGGTCAACTTCGATTATCATTGAGGATAAGATTATCCAAATAACAATATGTCAAATCAGTCAGTTCATTTACAAAACATAAATACATTGGCTTTTAAAGTTGTAAATTCATAGGCTCATTGCAATAAAATTACAAGTATCATAAACTTTGAAAAGAATAGAAAAAAATATGATCCCGTAGATAATGAATCTGATGAATCTGTCTTTGTTGACACAGTCTGATGGAGTGGAGAACATGTACCACACCCCGTACTTGATAGACATGATCACCTCAGGCTCCATGATTATTCCGGATCTGAAGGTCAACGTCTCGGATCAGTTCATCGTTCCCGAGCAGCGTTACCACCAGTTTGTCCCTGGGTCTCCCAAAGGACATATCACTGTGTTTGGTAAGGATTTCAATAAATCTTATCAGTACCTAATAAAGAGTATAAAAGACTAAGGCTGAAAAATAGATTTGAATTATGCTTAGTAAAGCTAAAATTTAGAATGAGTTTTGTTGACAAAGCAGTTTGCTTTAGAAATGTTGAAATTACTAGTAATTTATTTATTATTTTGCTTTTTCATTTAAGTTCATAACATTGATTTACATGGAAAATAGTTTTGAGTATGTTTCTTATATACCATATATTGTATTAAATAGTTTGCTGGTTTACTAACATGTCTAAAATTTCAAGGTATTTACAATTTGTATGCATATTACCTGCTTTAAAATGGCTCTAACTTAAGATTATTTGTTCTGATTAGGTGATGTTGTGACCCCTGGTTTCTTCCGGGAATTCCCCACAGCTGAGGACATTTTATACAGACCGTATGGATCAGGAGAAATGAACATGTTTAATTTTGCCTACAATCTTCTAACCCTCCGATTTAAAAAGGCCAACCAACAGCTCAGCAATGATGTACTCCAGAGAACACTTAAATACATGAATATAGGTAAAATCAAACTTATAATTTCATTCTCTATTTACAATGTATGTGTTGATGGCTCTTTTAGGCGTACTGTAAAGTTATTATTTTATCAGCTAAAGTTAAACAGTTTTTGAAACTCATCTAATCTCTTTGTTTACAGCCTTACAAAGACAGATGGGATACATGAACGAGGACGGATCTTTCCGCATGTTCAGAGATGACCCCAAACCCAGTGTATGGTAAGTTACAAAAATATGCGATTTCAATCTTAAAATTAGCTTAAAATATAATTATTTCTTCATATACAGCATCTCTTAATGTTTGTAAATGGGTAGCAAGCAACAAGTGTTCTAGTCTTGCCTACTAGTTAGACCATGTATTATTTCTGATATACTATTTTAGGTTGACTGCTTTTGTGGCTAAGACATTGTTTCAAGCTAAGTTTGGTGAGTGGGAGAAGGAATTTTTCATCCCCCTGGAGCTTATTAATAAGATGGTCCTTTGGCTGTGTAGTCAGCAACATAACGTGACAGGAGAATTTAACGAACTTCCTGGCGTTCCTGTGTATGACAGGAATTTTGTGAGTAGTCTAGATAATTATTAATTGGAAAAAGTAATTTCATCTTCCAAGAAATCTTTAAAAAATCTTACAAACATTCAGTACAATTGTTGTTGTCTTTACTGAAGTGAAAAGTTTTAATTTTATCATTACAGGGATCTCTGAAAGAAGCGATTGAGAATGATACATTACGAGCACATCCTGTGCCATTGACGGCCTATGTTCTTGTTGCCTTGTACAAAATCAAGGACACCTCTATGGTAAGCTTTATATCTTATGTGGATTTAAATTCTTAAAGAATTTATTCTTACTTTATTGGAGAATTATAATTTTTTTTTATGAGATAATCTGTCAAATGATTATTATAATCATATTTCCAGTTAAGATACATGTATATATGCATTTACAAGGTCCCATTTCTTTGACAGGAGTCTCAGAGCTGTATGGAGAAGGCTAAACAGCGAGCTTCAGAGTACCTGTCTCAGCAGTGGCCCAGTATTACAGAAGTGTTCCACCTCGCCATAACCTCGTACGCCCTGTCTCTCAGTAGTGTCCGCAGCAGAGATGTGTTTGATAAACTGTGGTCACATGTTTACACAAGTAGGTTTCAAATACAGTATTTCAAACACTAGAATCAGGCCAAAATAAAATTATTGTTTGTTTGGAATTGCCTCCCGCCTCATTGAAATGCCCCCTCCTCAAAAAATTTTATTGACCAAGAGTAGGAAGATTTTTTTTTTTAATTTTTTTTGCGCGTTACCACATGCACAATACAGAACACTGAAATGTAGAGTCAGATCTATGCAAAATTCAGTTTCTTTGTTGATGGTAGATAATTTGTTAAAAAGTCAGAAAATGTGTGTGCTAAGATTTGTATAAAAAATTTATCTTCAATTTAAAAAAAAATAATTTCCCTCCCTCCTTCCTGTGTCTGAAACCCTCCAGACGGCAATTCCAAACAAACAATTTTTTAAGGATGGCCTCAGAATAAATTTCTTCAGATTTATTTTGTACACAATGAAGTGAATATTTGACAATGGTTTAACATTATGGGTACAAAAAAATAACTGTTTTCATTGCAGAGCCAGAACATTATTTTTCGGACTCGCCAATCAGAGAAAACCCCTCGGAGTACGTGAACACTGTCCTGTACATGTTACCCAGACTGCCCCTGGTCAATGATGGCTACGCTGTACAGTCTACAGCCTACGCCTTGCTGGCTCACATCAACCACTTTGGGGCGGCCACCAGCTCTGACAGTACCAGTGGTCTCATCAAAGAACAGAGGGACTCCATGATGAAATGGTTACAGACAATGAGGAACACATTCGCAGCTTTTGCGTCCACTCAGGTACATATAGTCAGATCTTATAGACTTACAATCCACTCAAGTGGATATACAGTGGACCATCAGATATCCGGACGCTTCAGTATCCGGATGATTTTTCATCGGAACGGAATTTTTTAACGTTATTTTGTCGTAATTCAGGTATCCAAACGCTTCACATATCTGGACAAATTGACTAGGAAACAAAGCATGTGGATAAATGAGGCTCCACTGTACTAAAATATTTCACATCTTATATGCTTATACCTTTACAATTGCAATGTAATCAGTAGAAATATTAAAGAAGCATAAAAACAGGAGACATAGAATCTTAGAGTCATAGATGGAATGTAGATGCAATGTCATCTGGTTACCAGATATCTAAGTCAGAGAACACCAGCTTGACATGCCTGATTTGTTTTTTAGGACACATTAGCTGCCATGGAGGCCCTGTTTGAGTTCACCCTGGTTGACCCCAACAGGAACGTGTTCAGCATGAACCTGAAGCTGGAGTCCTCCGCCTCCCCTAACTGGATGAACGAGTTCATGATGACCAAAGACAATTATACAGAAATGCAGGAAGATTGGGTAAGTTTCCTAAAGCTGTATATCCTGTATAATCCAAACAAAAGTGAATTGTTACTGCCAATGATTTTGCAAAATTGTTTTCAGAGTTAAAACTTGATAATTGACTCTTTCAAAATTGATTTTTGATAATTTCAGCTGCCCAAAGTATTCGGTCAAGTTCGAGTAGCAGTAAAGGGAACCGGAAGAACACTTATTCAGGTTAAGTTTTAAATTTACAGGTAGAACATATAATGTCTTAATCAATTGACTGTATCATATTTTTAATAATTATAATACTTATTCATTGTACAAGTCATGTAGATTTTAAAATTTAAGATAACATTGTACCATTTTAAATACAAAAAAGTTAATTATTCATATATGAAATACATGTATTAGAATATATTTAATTTTAAACTTTAACCACTGTAGTTTATAATGTGTTATTACATTTATTAGCTGACTACAACAGTGAATGTGGAGTATGTGTGGCAAGTCCGGAATCCAGTGGATACAATCCAGTTCTTCCTGTTAGATAACTACAACATCGAGTTCAGCGGGAGAAACTTCTCCACAATCAGAATGACACCTTGTGTCAGGTGAGTAAATATAAAAAATCATTTTCATGTCACTTCAATTTACATATTTTTTTTATATCCCCCGCAAACGAAGTTTAGGGGGGGTATATTGGAATCACCATGTCCGTCTGTCCGTCTGTCCGTCCGTCCGTCTGTCCGTCTGTCTGTAGACGAGACTTTGTCCGGACCATTACTCAGAAACTATTGGAAGGATTTGTCTGAAAATTTGTACACATATTATTCACCATTTGAAGTTGTGCACCTGATATTTTTCATCTTGATTGGATTATTATTTTGAATTTTACAGGTGTTTTTTCATTTTTATTTTGGGGTTTTGTTTGGACCGTTTCTCAGAAACTATTGCAAGGATTAATCTGAAAATTTGTACAATTATTATTCACCATATGAAGTTGTGCACCTGGAATTTTCAACTCTTTTTGTTCATTTTTCTGCATTTTACAGGTTTTTTAAAATTTTAATTGACTTGTTCATTTTGGGCTCATGTATAAGGTTTGAGACATAGAATCTAGAATATCTGTACAAAAACGTGAACTACAGCTTAAAACTACTCATAAAAACTTAAAAAAAAGAAACATCAAGTGTTAAAAACAGTTTTTACATTGCACAGAAGATAATGTAATTTCATTTGTCTCTTGGGAATAAAGACTGGACATGCATCCAGTTAAAGATAAATTAATGAGTTTGGTGTTGGAAGTTGTTTAGGCATATCTCTTATCAAGTGTGTGTGTGTTATCAAATCTTCAGGGAATAAGGCACAAGAATTAAAGATCTCTCTTCTCTTATTCTCTTAATTGTAATTTATTGTCTGTCAAAACACTTCATTACTGGATGACCAGTTCTTTATTTTCAAAATGCATTTCAAATTGATATATCAAGATTAATTTGATTTTGTATAATGTTTTTTTTTTCAACAATCAGTTTGCAGAGTGACATAACACATAATTGCAATATATTTTTTTAATGCAGTATAAATGAAGAAAAATTAAATGAAAAAAAAAATGTTACAATGGAATTACAATGTATTATTATTGATGTTTCATTTGGTTGCACCTTCGTTTCATTCATTAAGAAACATGATGAGCAATTATATTTCACTGCAAATTTTTTTTAAGTAAATTGTGTATTTTTGAATTGGCACCTTCTCTGAAAAACCCAGCAGGGGGTATTTGTCCCTATTGGACAGTTCTAGTTTATTTTGTCATAATTATAGTACACTGTATTTAGAATATGAACATTGAATATATATGAAATACTGTAGCACTTTATAAATTTATTTTTACGATTTCAGCTGGGTGTATGAAGCTCGCAGTAAACAGTCCGGTTTGACGGTGCTGGAAATTGACATTCCCTCGGGTTATGTGATAATGAACGACACTTTACGAGCCCTCGTTAATAACCCTACCTCACCCGCAAATCTCAAGAGAGCTGAATTCTATGGAAGAAAAGCAGTGTTTTACTTTGAATATGTAAGTCAAGTCTTATCTTGAAAATTTTATCTTATATTTCAGTAAAGACATGTATTTCTTGAAATATTAAGGTTAGCATAAGTAATTATTTAAGGCTGATGGTTGACACAGAAGACAGATAGATATTGAATGATGGAAATTGTTTCATGATATTTAAATTTGATATAATTAAAATATTGATTTTTATTGTTTATGTATTGTAAAGCTTGATCAGCGGCAGACCTGTGTAGACATAGAGGCCCACAGATGGTACCCTATTGCTAACATGACCATTCAACACAAAATCAGGGTCTATGATTACTATGAACCAGGTAAAAAACATCATTCAAATATGTGGCACTTTCTGTGCAAGGAAAGATAACTCTTCGTTTTGCACTAAATACCCCAAAACAGCTTTGAAGGAATGTTTTATTTATATTTAAATTTTTTAAATGCTTTCATTAAATTACAAATTAAATGGAATTTTTTTTTTTCTTACAGGTATGCACAACACAACACTGTATTCCACATACAGCTTGTTCAATCTGAATGTGTGTTATGTGTGTGGGTCGTATCAATGTCCATACTGTCCCTTCTTCAATGTCGGTGTGGTGATAAAAGCCAGCTTTACACTAATAACTCTCATTATTGGATTTATTCTACAGAGATATATGTTACGGAACTCTTAGCAGTGAAGCTCTCGTGAGACATGACTCAAATCCTTCCAAAGTACCGCAAATGATTTTTGTCATTCCGAATTAAAAAGTGCACAATTTCTCAAGTAGAATCAAGAGAAAATTCACATATCAGTTACCATGTATGATGAAATCAACATTTCTGTTCTATAGAATCTGTTTTGACTATCTTATTCCAGGTTGGTACAGCATATTTTTTTAGACTATATAAAAAAAGGGTTGTGTATTTAAATGTGATTCATATATAGATCATTGGCATTTAAAATCAAAATATTTGCAGTTATTCACTTTTGAACAAAAGTTTTATGCTGAATATTGATACTTGACATTTTTCAGAGTGCCATAATAGTAGAAGCAATAAATAATGTTGCATGCTACACAAATACTTCAAATTTTTCAACAGTCAAGTATATTAGTGCTTAAAATACAATTTTTGAAAGTTCTCATACAGAAAGACTGATCTTAAAATGAAAAGCAAGAAGCATTCCAATTTATAATTTTTTTTTCTTGTCATTCCAAAGCAAGGAGATGAAATGAAAAGGCTATTAAGTATTTAAAAAAAAAACATGAAAGCAGATCTCTGACCTTTGTGATTCATACAAGGCACAGTTTTTTTTTTCACACTCCACAAAAGTGATTGATGAATAAAATTTATATATTAGATATTCTATGATTTTTAAACATTTCATTTTTGTATTAATCTAGAATGGTTGATTTTATTACTTTTACAAATGTTACATATCAATTTTGTTAAATGGTTTTTTATACTCTGGAGTATGAAATACTAGTGTTGTGAGAGAGGAAATGTGATTACAATTTACATTTATTACATTCCATATTATTACATATCATAATGCAATAGTCAAGTTGTCCAAAAAGTAGAAGTGTGGGAATTTATGACTGTTGCATATATTTACCATTTGCATATGTGGAGCTCTTTTTCATAGAATATGTGTAATAATCATTTTATGATGAATATTTTTTATGGAATATATGTGACATATCTTGAATGAATGTGTATATATCTATTTTTATGAAATAAAATATTTTCTACAAGGGACTTGAAAACATTCCTATCCATCATTGTAAATACCATTTATCAAGTAACTCGTGTATAAATTTATAAACTTTGTAAATTAGAATCTTTTTTGTAACTATATACAAGCATTTTTGTACAGAAATGCCACTTTTTATATGCAGTAAAAAAAATAAAACTATTAACTATTATGATATGTATTTTTAGTTTGTTCATACGTGGTCATCAGCAGATGAACTGGGAATGCTGTTTTTCTTTTTGGGCACATTTGCCACTGTCCTTTTAGGATCACCACCCATTAAAATAAATAAAATTACATATGATAAACAAGGACAATTGCATCACTAAATAATTCCTTTCATTAGACTATAGTATAGCTGCAGAACTGTTGCGTTTGACCATATGGTCAAAGACTAAATTATAAAACCATATAATTAGTCTTTGATGATATTGTAAAAGACTAAAATATAAAACCACAAACTGAAAAGCTACAGTTCTGCAGCTATATTATAGTAAAAGTCCATCTAAAATTTTTGAAATGAAGTATATACTCGATGCCATTTTTTCATCCTTAAAAAGCCAGTCTTTTTCCAAATAATTAGCCTGCCTATGTACACAGTACACAGGCACTTGTTTCGGAAATAAAATTTTAACCTATAGTATAATAATAACACAAGGTATCTAACTCCGAATTACACGGAATACCCCCCTCCTCAGAAACGCACTCATTTACAATTTCAGAGGAGACGCAATTGCAATATGTTTATTACCATTGTCTTCTTCGATAATTTATGTGCACAACCATATGCGGCATGCATGTCTTTGTTTTTGTTTATCTCCGTAAACAGCATCAAGACCCTGCTCGCCGCGCCGAGTGGAAAAGTCGAACTAAACCATGAAAATGTATGTGCTAATCCCGCACGAAGATTTTGATTGGCTAAAATTCTGCTTCTCAAATTGCATCGAAAATATGTGGTAGTGTTTCACGGAAAATGAGACATAATCAAATTTTATTTATTCAATGCAATATTTAAAATCTGGAATTGAATTTAAATTATTTTTTAACTCACTCATTTTTTAATTTTCGTGTTTGTCCGAGATTAGCACATACCATTTTATGGTTTAGTTCGAAAATGCTGTTTATAAACGAAAACCATAATGGTTTTGTAGATAAACAGTTCTTTTTATTGCGAGGGTATAATTTCAGTATATTTTTGGTGGAATTTCAGAGGTAAAAGCGTAATCAATCATGTTTAACTATTTTGTTGTTCTTACTACATGTATAATACTTTATTTTCTTTCAAAACAACTGAAATTGTGCATTACTAAACACAGCTGGCATAGCCTTTCCTTTTTCTAATCATTTATTGGCAAGAAAGTGTTGTAAAATACCAGTATCCTAGCTACATCAAACTCAGTTAAACCGTACACCCTTAATGAAGCATTTGGTCAATTTGTATTAGATCACTTAATTGAAGGCTTGCGTTTGCATGTTTACAAATCGTATATTATAACGTACTTTATCTTTTTAACACTCACATTTCTCTATCTTGTTCTAAGCAATTGTAAAAGTAAACTAAATTGAGCATAGAAATGGCTGTACTTATTGCAATATCATTTAATAGTTAATGTATGTAGTGCCTTCTCCTCTTCTTTTGAATCTTCGCCATACCAGTTTACATGTAACTACCCGGTATATTACTTGTACGTTATCGAACCGGTCCTTTATGAATTACTTTTATTAGAACTTCATTTCATTTCACACGTCGTAATTTAACTCTATTTATTTAGTCGTTCATGAAGGATTTTAAACCAAAATATCAAAAGCGTAAAATTAAGGTAGTCCGATCCTCAGGTTTACAAAATTAGCAGTTAAGTAATCAAAAATACTCATAAAAGTATCTCTGAATCCACAAAGTTATGTAAATTTATATTTTTGTTAAAGATGTTAATCATATTATATTGAAAATTTTCCAATATTTTTGCAGAAAAAGCGAATTGGAATATCAGCAATGCATTTTCTAACTGCAAATTGATCAACAAAAATATTTTATGTTAAAAAAAGATAGGTATCCAGGCATTCAGAGAAATTGTCATGATTTTTGTACTTATTTGGTATTTTTTGTCTTCTATTTCTGTCATGTTTTCTATAATGCATAGCGTAAAAGGCTTTTGCTATCATTGCAAGACACCACAAATCTCTTCTTATTTCATATCATGCTAATAAGCTTTGGTATCTAAGGCTGGATTCAAGAAAATCTTATTTCTCTAAAACTATGTTAATTTTTGCCTTAAAATTTTATAAAACCTTTTCTAAGACTTTTTTTAAAAGATAAATAAAATGAAAATTGTTGCATGAAAAAAAATAATTTCCAAGCATAATTTTGATGCATTACAGATTAAATTTTAATTTTTGGAGTTATCCTTCCTGGCTGAGGATCGGATATCCTTTATATAAGTGGCGTAATACCGTAATTTAGTGGTAAAAAGCGGAAGAATTACGCCAAAAGCGGAAGGGTAGGCAGGTCTGAGATAAATTATCGTAGAAGACAATGATAATATACATATTGCCATTGCATTTCCTCTGAAATTTTAAATGAGTGCGTTTCTGAGGAGGGGGATATTCCGTGAAATCTGGAGTTAGATACCTTGTGTTATTATACTATGGGTTAAAATTTTATTTCCGAAACAAGTGCCTGTGACACAGTAATATTTGTATCTGCGCTGTATAATTGGTAGTTTGATCAGATTGCAGGAAAAGTAGGTCTTTGTGCAAAGTTGAACGTGTATTAGCTACTGAAAACTATCCGGTAATGCATGTAGGTTACCGAAAAAAGTTTTGAAAGCTTGAAATATGCTTTCAAAAACGTTAATTGTATTTGAGTATTTTAATTAACAGGGTTGTAGATTAAGATAATATTTTTCATAAAATTACGATTTTTTTTAAATCGTGCATTAAGTCCTTTAAAATTGATACAGGAATGGCGAGGAGTATACCCAATAACATTTGTTTTTCTGAAGAACTCAAAGCGAAAGAGAACGTGCCAAAATCAAACTAGGACAAATGATTGATTGTCGAAAAGCGCTATCAAATTAGCATGATACATGTTAGGTAGACTTTAAAACTATTAAAAAAGGTATTATCATTTCATGATCTATGTAAAGGACAAAAATAAAGGTATGTTATCACCCTTCATATCTATCGGTGCTTGAGCTCCGTTTTATATAAAATCTTGGCTCAATTATTGCAACCATTAGGCATAAAATATGACATCACTTGATTATGAAAATACTCGGTTTTTGTATCGAACCGTTCTTGGATAAAAACAATTTTTATTTTAGTCCCAGTATTTGGACAGCATACGCCTAAAAATTGAACTTTATGAGAATAATTAGGCAGTCATTGTATTGAGAAAATGTATTAACTTTATCTCATTGAACGTGCTAGAATGAATTTTTCACGGATTTCATTTACGCTGCATTAATTGCAAGTATTAAAACACCTTTTTATACAATGCACTTTGAGGTAAACGCCCCTTGCTTAAACCAAGTCATCCGTGGAAAATGGGGGCATCTATAAAGATGTAAATTTGTCCGAATAAAACAATCCATTGGCAAAAATATTTATTAAGAATTGCCAACTTAGGCCCAAGAACAAAAACGTAAGACAATACCCGTTTGCTACGACGCGATCTAAAGATACATTTCTTTTCTTTAAAGTTCCGTCTTTGTTCCAAATACACGCACAGTTTGTTGATCCCCGCGAGTGGAACTTGGAGGTTTTCGGTTGATTTGAATTGGTGATTTTTTGTGTATCGAAAAGGCAATGCCTTAACTTGGAAGAAATTCTGGGCAAAATCTTCATAATTTTTGAAGATGGCAGGACTTGCTTCCTTTAAATTCTTTTGGAAATGAATTTTTTCTGCGTTTCAATTTTGTTCAAGAGTGCAGTTTGGGTTGGATTTCTGGTATCAGGTAATGTATATAAATTCTTTGTGGGGATGATTTCTTTTGACAGGTAATTAACTTGATACAGATCTATAGATAAATGAGATCTGAATCTCTCCCGCCAAGTAATTCCTCATTAACAAGTCATAAACTTCAAATCCTATAAAATTTAAAGATCATTTATTTCGATTTTAAAATGACCTTCCAAAAGACACCATTTCAGGAAATTAAAAAAATATCCCTTCTTTTTTTTCTTCATTGAAATGGGGAAAAATTCGTGCGTTTACAAACAATGTCAACAAAACTTTCGTTTTTAAGAGTGTCTGTGCATTCTACTACGATATATTGAAAGTAAACACTCGATGTTCAGAATATTTGTGTATCTATTCAATCGTAGCTCATTGATCAGAAGACCATACACCGCATATGGTCATATTTTAAAATATTTTAAATATCTCTCTCCCTCCATCTCTCTCTCTCTTATTCTGTTCCTTAGATAGTGAACTCGAACTTACACACACTCAAAAAATAAAAAATAAAGCTATAAAACTTAATCTAAAATTTAGTGTTTCAAATTTTACAATATAAATAATATTTTCCAATGTCATTTATCTTAAATTGTTGGGTAAGAGTTCTCACATGCCAAGTCTGTGTACACTGCGATTAGAATATAAATTACAACCTTGATACATTGGAAGGTTGGGGGCTATAAAAGAACATTTCAAGTGTCACCAATGCGTTATTTATTTCATGCAAAATACCTGTACGTTAACATACACGGCTATCAACAGCAACTAATCCTCACAAAACTTATGGAATATTCAATCTTTCGAATAAATAAAAAGGGCGGCCCAAAGTTTCCTCACAGCTTTATATGTATATCAATATCATTTTATGGTGTCTAGGATTTGAACTATAAATGTCCATAATCCTTTGACTTGCTTTGATATTATATTTTCTACAGCGCTTTTTTATCAGGGGATAGGAGGACGATTGCCCTGTATAAATCTCTTTCCTTATAGAAAAACACAATTTTAACAAAATATCTTAGGAGTAGGACAAAATTTTCACATTCTCGTTAAAATTACGACTAAGACAATTTTTTTCATTCTACTTAAGATTTCTAAGCGAGAATATTTTACAACTTTTCTGCAGGGGTTTCGGCATCTACTGTAATCAGTAAAAATATGTACCGATGAATGATACTGTACAGATTAAGATTTGTAAATACACTTACAAATCTTATAAAAGTATTGGACTAGTCTATTTGTGTACCATGTATCACTGCATTCAGATCAACAAGAGGCCCATGGGCCACATCGCTCACCTGAGCACTGTGGCTAGGAAAAAGCAGAATTGGTTTATACTTGAAAAGCTTAAATCCAAAAGTAGTCCCATGACCAATCATGGCTTTGCTATTCTTGAGAAGAAGATTTTTTAAAGAATTTTCCTATACATTTCTATGTAAAACTTTGGTCGGCCATTTTGGCCCCGCCCTACCACCGGGGGTCATGATTTGAACAAATTTGAATGTACACTACCTGAGGATGTTTGCCCATAAGTTTCATCTTTCCTGGCACAGTGGTTCTTGAGAAGAAGATTTTTAAAACATGCTACCAAATTTTCATTAATTTCCAATTATCTCCCCTTGAATGAGGGCGTGGCCCTTCATTTGAACAAACTTGAATCCCCTTTACCCAAGGATACTTTGTGGCAAGTTTGGTCGTGAAATTGGCCAAGCGGTTCTTGAGAAGAAGTCGAAAATGTGAAAAGTTTACAGACAGACGGACAGACAGACAGACGGACAGACGGACGCCGGACAAAATGTGATCAGAAAAGCTCACTTGAGCCTTCGGCTCAGGTGAGCTAAAAAGTGATAGAAAAAGTATTTTGAAACAATGTTTTGAAACCATTTTGTATAAACTTTAAAAACAGTAAATAGCCATTTAAAACCAATGAGAAGGGGTAGTGCAATGTGGCAATCGGACCCCTTCTGAAAACCATACCATGTCATTTTTGAAATAAAATGAATTTATTTTATCATTTACAGTAAATAACTTTTGTATGACGATACAGTGTTTTGGTGTAGTTTCCTTGTGTAAGAGGATACTGAGTCCTAGTGTAGACTACTTGTGTATGAGGATACTGACTTCTAGTGTACTCTACTTGTGTATGAGGATACTGACTTCTAGTGTACTCTACTTGTGTATGAGGATACTGACTTCTAGTGTAGTCTATTTGTGTATGAGGATACTGAGTTTAAGTGTAGCCTATTTGTGTATGAGGATACTGAGTCCTAGTGTAGACTACTTGTGTATGAGGATACTGAGTCCTAGTGTAGTCTACTTGTGTGTAAGAATACTGAGTCCTAGTGTAGTCTACTTGTGTATGAGGATACTGAGTCCTAGTGTAGTCTACTTGTGTATGAGGATACTGAGTCCTAGTGTAGTCTACTTGTGTATGAGGATACTGAGTCCTAGTGTAGTCTACTTGTGTGTAAGAATACTGAGTCATAGTGTAGTCTACTATGTGTATGAGGATACTGAGTCCTAGTGTAGTCTACTTGTGTATGAGGATACTAAGACCTAGTGTAGTCTACTTCTGTATGAGGATACTAAGACCTAGTGTAGTCTACTTGTGTATGAGGATACTGACTTCTAGTGTAGTCTACTTGTGTATGAGGATACTGAGTCCTAGTGTAGTCTACTTGTGTATGAGGATACTGAGTCCTAGTGTAGTCTACTTGTGTATGACGATACTGACTTCTAGTGTAGTCTACTTGTGTATGAGGATACTGAGTGTTAGTGTAGTCTACTTGTGTATGAGGATACTGAGTCCTAGTGTAGTCTTCTTGTGTATGAGGATACTGAGTGTTAGTGTAGTCTACTTGTGTATAAGGATACTGAGACCTAGTGTAGTCTTCTTGTGTATGAGGATACTGAATGTTAGTGTAGTCTACTTGTGAATGAGGATACTGAGTTCTAGTGTAGTCTACTTGTGTATGACGATACTTAGTTGTAGTGTAGTCTACTTGTGTATGAGGATACTGAGTCCTAGTGTAGTCTATTTGTGTATGAGGATACTGAGTTCTAGTGTAGTCTACTTGTGTATGAGGATACTGAGTTCTAATGTAGTCTACTTGTGCATGAGGATACTGACTTCTAGTGTAGTCTAATTGTGTATGAGGATACTGAGTGCTAGTGTAGTCTACTTGTGTATGAGGATACTAAGACCTAGTGTAGTCTACTTGTGTAAGAGGATACTGAGTTGTAGTGTAGTGTACTTGTGTATAAGGATACTGAGTTTAAGTGTAGTCTACTTGTGTATGAGGATACTGAGTTGTAGTGTAGTCTACTTGTGTATGAGGATACTGAGTGTTAGTGTAGTCTACTTGTGTATGAGGATACTGAGTCCTAGTGTAGCCTACTTGTGTGTAAGAATGCTGAGTTCTAGTGTAGTCTACTTGTGTATGAGGATACTGAGACCTTGTGTAGTCTATTTCTATATGAGGATACTGAGACTAAGTGTAGTCTACTTGTGTATGAGGAAACTGAGTTTAAGTGTAGTCTATTTGTGTATGAGGATACTGAGACCTAGTGTAGTCTACTTGTGTATGACGATACTGAGTCCTAGTGTAGTCTACTTGTATATGAGGATACTAAGACCTAGTGTAGTCTACTTGTGTATGACGATACTGACTTCTAGTGTAGTCTACTTGTGTATGAGGATACTGAGTCCTAGTGTAGTCTACTTGTGTATGAGGATACTGAGACCTAGTGTAGTCTACCTGTGTATGACGATACTGACTTCTAGTGTAGTCTACTTGTGTATGAGGATACTGACTTCTAGTGTAGTCTACTTGTGTATGAGGATACTGACTTCTAGTGTAATCTATTTGTGTATGAGGATACTGAGACCTAGTGTAGTCTACTTGTGTATGAGGATACTGAGACCTAGTGGAGTCTATTTGTGTATGAGAATACTGACTTCTAGTGTAGTCTATTTGTGTATGAGGATACTGAGTCCTAGTGTAGTCTACTTGTGTATGAGGATACTGAGACCTAGTGTAGTCTACCTGTGTATGACGATACTGACTTCTAGTGTAGTCTACTTGTGTATGAGGATACTGACTTGTAGTGGAGTTTACTTGTGTATGAGGATACTGATTTCTAGTGTAGTGTAATTGTGTATGAGGATACTGCGTTTAAGTGTAGCCTATTTGTGTATGACGATACTGAGTCCTAGTGTAGTCTACTTGTGTATGAGGATACTGACTTCTAGTGTAGTGTAATTGTGTATGAGGATACTGCGTTTAAGTGTAGCCTATTTGTGTATGACGATACTGAGTCCTAGTGTAGTCTACTTGTGTATGAGGATACTGACTTCTAGTGTAGTCTAATTGTGTATGAGGATACTGCGTTTGAGTGTAGTCTATTTGTGTATGACGATACTGAGTCCTAGTGTAGTCTACTTGTGTATGACGATACTGACTTCTAGTGTAGTCTACTTGTGTATGAGAATACTGAGTACTAGTGTAGTCTACTTGTGTATGACGATACTGACTTCTAGTGTAGTCTACTTGTGTATGAGGATACTGAGACCTAGTGTAGTATACTTGTGAATGAGGATACTGATTTCTAGCGTAATCTACTTGTGTATGAGGATACTGAGTTTAAGTGTAGTCTATTTGTGTATGAGGATACTGAGTCCTAGTGTAGTCTACTTGTGTATGAGGATACTGACTTCTAGTGTAGTGTAATTGTGTATGAGGATACTGCGTTTAAGTGTAGCCTATTTGTGTATGACGATACTGAGTCCTAGTGTAGTCTACTTGTGTATGAGGATACTGACTTCTAGTGTAGTCTAATTGTGTATGAGGATACTGCGTTTGAGTGTAGTCTATTTGTGTATGACGATACTGAGTCCTAGTGTAGTCTACTTGTGTATGACGATACTGACTTCTAGTGTAGTCTACTTGTGTATGAGAATACTGAGTACTAGTGTAGTCTACTTGTGTATGACGATACTGACTTCTAGTGTAGTCTACTTGTGTATGAGGATACTGAGACCTAGTGTAGTCTACTTGTGAATGAGGATACTGATTTCTAGCGTAATCTACTTGTGTATGAGGATACTGAGTTTAAGTGTAGTCTATTTGTGTATGAGGATACTGAGTCCTAGTGTAGTCTACTTGTGTATGAGGATACTGAGACCTAGTGTAGTCTACTTGTATATGACGATACTGAGTCCTAGTGTAGTCTATTTGTGTATGGGATACAGAGTTCTAGTGTAGTCTACTTGTGTATGAGGATAGTGACTTCTAGTGTAGTCTACTTGTGTATGACGATACTGCGTTCTAGTGTAGTCTACTTGTGTATGAGGATACTGAGTCCTAGTGTAGTCTACTTCTGTATAAGGATACTGAGACCTAGTGTAGTCTATTTGTGTATAAGGATACTGAGACCTAGTGTAGCCTACTTGTTTATGAGGATACTGACTTCTAGTGTAGTCTACTTGTGTATGAGGATACTGAGTTGTAGTGTAGTCTACTTGTGTATGAGGATACTGAATCCTAGTGTAGTTTACTTGTGTATGACCGTACTGAGTTCTAGTGTAGTGTACTTGTGTATAGTGTATGACGGTACAAAGAACTTTTGTTCAATAGAACATGAGATTTCACCAATAACAATTCGCAAAATTAGTTTTCTTCGCCTCGGACTGACAGATAGATGTCTGTCTGATGAAGCTTGTTGTCAATTTTGACTATATCAGATATTCATACCATATTTTTATCTTTTTTAGTTTGTAATGGCGGGGATACGTGTACTGCGACATTCAAGGGATCAATCGTAGTAACTAAATACTGTGACATAGGAGGATGCTGCATTCCGAGCACAGGAAACGAAAAAACCGACCCGGACGAACTATGTTGCATGACAACTCTGACGTTTATTCTAATCTTGTCTTTCACGGGTGGACCTGCATTTCTTTTAACCTTGATTTGCGCCGGATTGTGTCTTAAACGTTATTGTGAAAAAAAGAAAAACGATGATAGAATCCGGAGAGCGGAGTCTGCGCGACAGGAGAGACGCCGTGAGCGCAGGCGCCAACGGCAACAACAGGAACAGGAAGAGGAAGCGGTCCGGATCAGGAGATACTACGGTAAAATTTAATGGAAGGGGGATGGGCCAAATGAGGAAATAGTACATAAAAATTTATACACTTAGAACTACAGTTTTCAGTGTTGTTTTTAAAAATATATATTTGTTAGATTGGTGGACGGCAGCAATCCAGACTTCTGCTTACTAGTATATCATATTTATTTGTCAGGAATATCAGTGTCTTTTGTGCAACTGTTTTGGATATTACATATATATATGTATATAATCTACACCTATTACAATTGTAGAACCCAATCCCGAGGACGGTCCTTTAAGGCCTCCAGCGTATGACGAAGGTCCCCCAGGATCGGTCCCTAACCGGACGGCTCTACCAATGTCCCCTCCACCAGCTTATGAAGCGATAGTACAGGAAGCCACATTACCAAATCACAACCAAATCCCCGTCAGTTATAATGAAAGAATCAGAGTAGACAGAACTGAGAACAACGAGGACAGAAACGAACGCATTGACGTCACAATTCGTGCACCCACCATCGGGGGCAGACGACCAAATAAAAGAGTAAACGAGACAAAACCAAGCAACGTTACTGTGAGAAATGGAATAACAATCTCTGAAACAGAAAGAAATGGAATCACTCGACCAGAGACTGTGCATAAAAACCAGGTTTCTCCGAGTAACAGTTTTAGAACGGTACCGAGTCCAACCAGAAGTCCCAGCACATTATCTAATGACAGCGTAAACTCTGAACACAACAATGTGCGCCCTAAACAGTTTTCAAGACCTCTCCAAATTGTTATTGATGCCCCTATCGACGAGCCCGCCGATTTACTTTATATTTAAGTTGAGGGTTCGATAAAGTTTTTTATTTTTAACTGGATTAACTAATCATAAATCAAAAAGAAAAACTTGAAGTTATTAATTTATCAAGTGTAAGGTCATTTTAAAATATGGGACAAGTTTAAATTTTTTAAGAAGCACCCTTGATCATCATAACTACCGGGATATGGACGTTTTTATCTGCTCAACTCAATTCTAAGGAGAAGTCAGGGATTTTTAACAGAATTAATGCGTTTTTTTATGGAGAGCAAATCATAGATTTTCATAGGGTTAAGTAAGTTTTTAATACCCAGGAGAAGAGAAAAATTTTCAAAGAAAATTATTTTACTACATGATCGTATATAACCCCGCTCTAGTACCAGAGACCCAAGGGCCAAGAAATTCACAATTTTGGAAGAAGCTTTCTCGCTCTCGCTCTGTCATAGCAATGATCTCATTTTGTTCACAATACATTTGTAATCAATAGAGCCCACAACCGGAACCTCTGATCAAGTGACAATGAAATTCAAAATTTTAGAGGAGGAATCCTAATCATCACAACTATATTTTTACGAGTAGTTCGTTTATTTATAACATACAGGAGTAGAAAAGAAGATTTTCTGAGGAATTTTGCTTTTTCATTATATCATCTATATAGCCCCGCCCTAGAACCAGATCCCCTGACATCAGGCCATGAATTTCACAATTCTGTTAGAGGGCTCAATGCTTATTTCAATCATTCCAACAGTTTGAATGTTTGATGTCGCGAAATAACGTTTGCATTAATTTTGGTGGTTTTCGCCCCACCCCTTGGAGGTTTTTTTTGGGGGGGGTGAAATTCACGAATTTTGTAACCCTTTGGCTTCCTGTCCAAATTGGTTGAAACTGGTTCAGCAGAACAAGAGAAAAAGTTGAAAAAGATAAAATGATAACACCCAACGGACGACGACGGACAAAAGCGGAGAGGTCACCTGAATGACTCGGGTGATTTAAATACATGTACTAGAAGGCTTTCACTTGACAGGTATTTTGGAGCTCCGTTGAAAGTCTAATTGCTGAGGGGGTCAAAATAGGGGTATACAACATTTTAAGCTCCCCTGACACGAATAGCATTAAGGAGACCAGCTTCATACAAAGTGAATATAAACAGACTTTCAAACCTCATTGGAAAAAAATCAAGTCACATGAATTCAGAGTTACTGATAAGATCATATGCATATGCGCAAGGTCAGACGAAACTTTCTCATTATTGTATGGGTTTATCCCAAGAGTTTGACATTGAAGCATTCCTACTTCTACCAGTTTCAAAAGTTGGACAAATCCTGTCAACCGTATTTCTTTATAATGATATAAAGCCGACAAGAATCAACCATTTAACCGAACAATTTACCGAAAATATTTTTAAAAGATGTTCTTATATGTGTTGCAACGTGCAAAAAAAATCATTTGTTGGATAATGTATAACTTGAAGACTCAAAACTAGATTCGACATAAGGCATCATCCCTATAAAATACCCCTCAAAGAGGGACGTGCAAATAATATATTTGTAAAGTATTAAAGCTCTAAAATGTATATTCATAATATTTATTGATTTATTCTGACTTATTTTTGAATCTTCTTTATTGTAAGTTACATGTATTTAATGAAGACATTGGGTATACTTGAGATAATTGGTTTACTTGAGTAAAATCTACTGACATCTTGCAAAATACTATCAAGTTCTTTCAAATACATAATGCTTACCAAAAATTCATCTTACAGGAACAAAGTGTATGAAACTTAAAAAGACAAAACTCACGATTGTTTTAAATGCCATAATGACAACACGGTTTATCGAAAGCAGAACCGGTACTGTAAATTTTCGACTAAAATTTTAAGGTGCCTGAAAATCTAGCAATCCCTGTCCTATCATATAAGGTCATTAAGTTTACAAGGAAAATCTGAATAGTACACAAATAAGAAAGATGTAATGAAGAAGGAATTATTTGTACTTAAGTTTGCAATTGGAGTATCAAATGAAATCCACCAAATGTTTTATACAGTTAGACATTCATATCATTTAACATACGTAATTGCGTGTGAATATTTCGCGATTGTTCGCATAATTTAAAAAAAGAGAGAAGAAAACAGCAAATAACACCAAACCTTGATTCTAGCTACGTTGGTATACCAAGTTGTTATGAACGCACATGTATGAAGGTCCCACATGATCGAATACCTTCCAGAAAGGATGACCAAACCCGGGCTTTGTGAATCCATCTGGAAAGACCTATCCTTTCCTGTTAAGGGCATGATGTTTTCTAGGAAGTGGTTTTGGAATTTTCATTTACAAGTTGTGGGGCAAATCGGGGTCAAAGAGCGCTTCTCCATATGCAGGAAAACCTGGTTCCCAGAACTCCTTTCAAAAAACATGAAGTGACCAAATTATCTTTAAGATCTTGATTGGTAGTTATCTTTGAGTTGATCTATAAGACTTTGAATTTTTTGTTTCAAACTTGGGGTCGTAAAACGACTTTTTTGGACACAATATATGTCCCTTTAGATAATAACTTTTTTTGTCCCCCGCTTTCCCGAAAGCGAGGGGACATTAAATCTCATTCGTCTGTCAGTCTGTCCGTCCGTCACAAAAACTTAAACCATGCCCATAACTTTTGATATAGTGGAGCTATGACTTTCATATTTCATATGTGTATTTCTTGTGACAAGACCTTTCTTTGGGTATCACCAAATTTGACCTTTTGACCTTGACCTTGGAGTTTGACCCACTTTTACACAAAAATTCCAAACTTTTACTTTGGCCATAACTTTTGAATGGTATCTACTAGGACTTTCATATTTCACATATGTATTCTTTGTAGCAAGACCTTTTATTGGATACCAACAACCTTGACCTTTTGACCTTGACCTTGGAGATTAACTTTGACCATAACGTTTGAATGGTAAGGGCTAGGGCTTTCATACTTCACATATGTAATCCTTCTGAGAAAACTTTTCATTGGATACCAAGAACGTTAACCCTTTGACCTTGACCTTGGAGTTCAGTGATAATTTCTAAATAGATGACTTATGATAGGGCGTTCATATTAGACACAAAATGTCATAAAAAAATGACATCTCACCCAAAAAGACACCGAAAGCGGGGGACCACAATTCTTTGAATTTGCTTGTTCTTATTTACATTAACCTAGAACTCTCTTTATCTAATCAAGTGTTGAAGCCCAGAGTGCAGGGGTGGGGCTGCTCCGTAAACCATTTTAAAAGATATCTGAACAAGGATGGAGATCTTCACTGCTTTAAAATTGGAGCAGTTGTTGAACGAGGAAATGGACTCTTTGGCATTTTTCCGTACAGAATAATCGGATTGGGCTGATCTCATGCACGTGCCTACAAAATGGTCGATGCATATCTGAAACCGTGAAATGGGGCGGGAGATATCCATGGAGACATTTGACTAATTACCTACTCAACGTATCTGTAAATTCAAATATTTTCTTGGGGTCAAATTTTCGTGGTTTCGTGAAAAAAAAGTAGGTTCATGGGAATTTCATTTCGTGGACGCAGATTTGAGGAGTAATAAAAATGTGAAAAGTAACATTTTAGTTTACATAAATCTCTTTATTTAAAACAACGAAAATTAACCCCCATAAAAATTAATGTATTTTAAAATACGTATTATATATTGGAACACATTACATATATAGACATGCATTTTTTGCATTAATATGATCAATCATTTTATTTGGACAACAGAAGAATCTCCCTTCACATCATCCATTTTCAATATCGGGTTCCTGTTTTATACACATTTGTGGAACTTGCTGGAAGTTTTGGGTATTTGTGTTCTCCGGACACCTGTTCACACCTGCCACTGTTTGTGTACCACTACGTCCTTGTAAAGACTTCCTCCTCTTCTCGCACTGCTTGCACGATAGACACTATAATGTATTTTTTAAAAATAAAAATCATTATGACATCTCAAGGAAGCACTGTCTAGTTAAAAGAGTATACCAGGGCATCAATGATAGTTGCAATCGTGGGATAATTTGCATAACGGGCGAAACGTATTATGCATAAATTATCCCACGTTTTGATGTCCCTGGCATATTCTACTACCTAGTCAGTGAAATAAAATTGTAAATTCAGATTTTAAAAATATAGACTACATGTATTGGATTTAAATTCCACGCGGCCTCGAATGTCAGTTCCCGCCCACTGAGTCAAACATAAAGACAGACGCACGAGATTTACATGCATTTTTTGGCCTCCTTAGCATCAGCCACAAAGACAGCTGCACGAAATTTACATGCATATCAGGCCTCCTTAGCTATCGCTTGGCGAAGTTTACCAGGGGCGTAGTATCAGGGGGGGCCAGGCCCCCCCCACTTTTTCTCCCGACATTACCTTTACTATGGAAAATGTTTACTGAAAGGAAGGTTGGCACCCCCACATTTCAGCAAAGGGTAGTGTTATAAAGAAAATTTACCTCAAAAAGTTTGAATTGAAAGATAGTTGGTCTCGAAAAAAGTTAGCCAGTACCCCCCCCCCCCCCCCCCCCCCCCCCCCCCCCCCCCCACGAAATAGGATTTTCGACTTCGGGCAACTTTTAATTATTTTAATTTTTCGTTTTTTTTTTTTTTTTTTTTCTTGTCAACTTTTTAAGGTAAGTAAAAAAAAATTTCTCAGGTTGGCCCCCCCACTTCCAAAAACGATGCTACGCGCCTGTTTACATACTGGTGTTGTAGAGTAGGACTTCCCCCACAGCCAGATCCCCCCCCCCCCCGAAATCGTACTCTAGAGTAGGATCCCCCCCCCGGAGGAGAAATCTCACACCAGAGCCAAAATTCCTTTCTTTCTTTCTCAGAGTAGGACCCCCCTCCCTCCCTGTTCTAGAAAGTAAACGACAGATTTTCAAATGGTAAATGAGTGTTTTTCGATTTATACGTATAGTAAGAATTTTCTAAGCAAAATATTAAAGTTGTTTCATTAAAGATATATCACTTTTTAATTGAGAGAGAGGCAAATATAATTTAGCAAAGAAATCTGAATTTTGAAGAAAAAAGTGTGCATTAATCCTTGAGTATTTTCAATGCTTGTTCCCTACCGGCAAGTGAAATCTAGCAACAAATTGAGAATGTCAATATTCCGTAAATATTCATTGAAGTAAAACGAAATGCAAACTTGAAATTCACATACCAAAAATTAGCTCAATATCTTCATTCCTTTAAAAAAAAAACATTGCGGAAAACCCTTAAAAATTGAAAAGCCAAAATGTAATTCCGAAGAAAAAACTGAAGCGGAATAAAATGCAAACTTGAACTCATTAAGATACACTCCCATACCACAAAGCAGCCCCATACCTTCAAACGTTTAGAAAAAAAGTACGGTAAAACTTTGGGGACAGACAGATGGATGACTAAACAGACGGTCGGACGGGCAGACGCAGAGTAAACCGGTTTGACCGATTTGTTTGATCTAAAAATAAGTGATTTGACAGTTGCTTGGAATAATGAGATTTCACCCTTCGTATACATATGTTCAATACATCTTGTCACTATTATAGAGAAAGGACACTTAACCTTGTTGCAATATACCGCCCCTCTCCCCTTCAAAACATAAGTACGGCAATGATATTTTATTGGGGGAAAATTGGCTCTGGGGAAAATCGCACTCTATAACTATTACATTTAGTAGGACCCCCCCCCCCGGAAAATTGACTAGTGTGTGATTTCTTTAGGGGAAATCCTGCTCTAGAGCCAGTTTTCCCTAGTGGAAATCCTACACTAGAGTAAATTTTCCGGGAGGAAATCGTACCCTAAAGCCTGTTTTTCGGCGGGACTTTTTTAGTGGAGAGCCTACTCTAAAGATGGATGGAATGATAAAAAATCAACTTAACCAACTTTCAAAGAGTTATCACAGAGAAAACAAATAGAAATGGAAATATATGGAAATATAGACTGTTTCTCTTTCATTGAAATTCAATTTACCATTTTTCTAAAACTTGAGTTGAATATTGAATTAGGTAGCTTCACAAGTGATACAGGATTTGTTCGTCTTTCACTCATGCTTTAAATTTTGAAGAAAAAAATATCCTGACCGACTCATGAAATAAAGTTCATATCCAATGACAAAATATAAATGCTATTTAGAAAACCTGAAAGAAAATTTGTGTGTGTGTGTGTGTGTGTGTGTGTGTGTGTGTGACTGTCATGTTTAATCTATAGAAGAAAAAGAAATTATGCTTAAAAAACAAAAATTAATACTCGTGCTAATGGCAGAATTAAAAAAAAAATAAGATCTTTTGCAGGCAATGAATTTTTAAAATGTGGTCAGAAAAGAAAATGTTCAATGTATATAAAAAAAACCCTGTATTCAATATGAGTTGCAATGTAGAAAATAAATACATACATACCGGTAGTTTCTGACGAACACGGTCCATTCCGGCCAGTAGTAACGACTGCCCACAAGTTTTAGAACCGCTACAACTCCTCTATGTTCGTTATTGTCGTGATATTCTTCTAGAATTTTGAACTTTTCTTTCTCATCCTTGATGAACAATGTCTTGCTTATATCTCTGTTAAATTTAAATTACAATTATCTGCAAATCAACATGATCAACCTGCATATATAAATAATATTTTAGAGTTTGTGTTGATAATATATTAAATTCAATAAATTGATTAAAATTTGATTTTAATAATTATGATAATGAGGTACATGCACTACAACGCTTCCAGTCTGCTGTTCATGAAGCAATAAGGTGTGAGGCATCGTGCTCATACCTAATCAATATTGAATCGGAATCATGCAGCTGTTTATGGTATATTTTATTCAAAGTGTTATGATAGGAAACACAAATACTGGAAACGAAATCGAAATTACTCAATTAAAGCATCCCAAAACATAAATGTACAACTTTTCTTTGATAAAATAAAACAATGACACACGTTATATCTGCTCATAAATATCAATATTACAAGTACTCACCCTAGTTTTGATTTTTTGTATCGATATAATTTGCCATCCTCAATGATGAAAGACTTCGCCAGTTTTCTTATTCGTCTTTTCTCGTTTTCAGGCGTTGAAGGCGGGTACTTTCCTGACTTAATGTAGGTAATTACACCTTCCATGACTAAAAGTTCAATAATAAAGAAAAGCCGGAACTAAAATTATAATAAAACCCGGAACTAAAATTATGATAAAACCCGGAACCCGAATTATGTTATCGTCATCCCGGAAAGCATACTATACAACACATTGGCGTCGGAAGCAAATTGAAAAGGGGGCTTAGGGCTTTTTTTATGACCGTAAAAAAAACCCGAAAAGCTAATAAAAGAGGGGGGTATAACCATATACCAAACGCAAAAACATAACCACTGACCAAACGCGAAAATCCTATTTCGTAGGAGGAGGGGGGGGGGGGGGGGGGGGGTAGGTTCGAAATTCTTTCAGTACCAAATCTTTTCCCAAATATTACTACTTTCTCCATTTTTAACCTATACTGCAACGTGTGGAAAGTGCGTGTGTTTAGGGGGGGGGGGGCTAAACCTACACTGCAATGTTCAACGCCTATACTAAGTCTATCTTGCCAAAAAAAGTGTGGTGAAGGGGTAACCCCCCCCCCCCCCCGGTTCCGACGCCCATGCAACACTAATGTGTGACAAATACATGTATTAAGATACTAACACATGATGCGAATGGAATGGAATTAATTTAAGAAATAACTATGGAGCTTTAAATTTGAGGATTTGGTAGGAATCGGGACGCACTTGAAAACACGTTCTTCTAACGTCGTGGTCATTTCTCCTCGATTTTAAGATCCACATTTTAACTTAAAAAATAATCATTTGTAAATTATGGAGAAAATATCCAGTAACTGTATAAATGTTTTCCTAAGAAAGATCATATTGAGTAAAACATTTTCTACACTGAGCAATGTTTGACACACATTGTACGTTACCTGTTCAAGAATATGCAGAATCAATTTGTTTCAACCACTCTTGTCTTGTTTATTTTCTTATTAAATCAGAAGCAAATATTTGGACCCACTAAAACTTTGATACATCTGCATTTAATATGCATAACTGCATATGCATAATTATTTATATAATACTGTTGTGTTTTGCGTGCACTATGTCTAAATAGTAGTCAGGGTTTGACACACAGTGCACGTGACGTCAAAATAAAGTAGACGAATGTAACAGGTGATGAAGCATTGGGAATGGAGAAAATATCGCAAAACACAACGCTATCATATAACTAGTGCAAGGGCTTTCATACTTCACTTGTATATTTTTTTAATTTTTTTTTTTTTGGGACGCCTTTTTGGAAACCACCAAATTTGACCTTTAGACCTTGACCTTAACCTACTCAAAAAACCTTGACCATAACATTTGAACAGTTAGTACTGGGCTTTCATATTTCACAGGAGTATTATTTATCATAAGGGCTTTCATATTGTCCCCCACTTTCGCAAAAGCTAGGGGGGCATTAAATCGTCTGTCAGTCTGTCCGTCCGTCCGTCCGTCACAAAAACCCTAACCTTGGTCATGTCTTTTAAATGAAAGATAATGAAAGACATTCATATAACCTTTTTAAATACACTATGAGCTTTGACGCTGCGATCTTGGCCTTGTTGTTTGACCTACTTAAAAAAAAAATAAACATTACATGTACTTTGAATTGGTCATAACTTTTGAATGAGAAGAGATAAGGCTTTCATATCAAACATGTTTCAAACCTGTGACAAGATCTCTCTGAATACACTGTGATTTTTTACCTCTTGACCTTGAAGTTTGACCTATTTTTTTAAAAACTTGAACCTTGGTCATATCTTTTGATCGAGAAGAGATACATCATCTCAAGCCACGGTTCGGAGTCCGCATATAGCTGCTTGATCACAAGAAGTGTCGTAATCTTGAATATTTACGCCTCTCTATTGTGATGTCAATTCAGCCAATGTTAGTATTTGTTTTTATCGCAATTGAAATCAACAAATGACACCAATAGTATACAAGATATATTTCGTAAACTGCGATTGGGTATTGAAAGGTCGCGTCAAATTCACTTTCCGACTAGGCTTTGTTCGCATTGGTCAATATTTTAATGACCTACGAAAATTTTTCTTCTCATTCAACCACGGGCAGAACTGGAGAGGGTCATAAATTTTGCCCGTGGTTTGCGACGATGGAAGAGATAAGGCTTTTTAGATTATACATGCATATTACTTGTGACAAGACCTTTCTAAATACACTACGATTTTTGACGCCGCAACATTGAGCTTGAAGTTTGACCTACTTTTTTGAAAAAAATAAACATTACTTTCCATTGGCCATAGCTTTTGAATGAGAAGAGAAAGGGCTTTTAAATTGAACGTGTATTACCTGTGAGAAGATCTTTCAGAATACACTGTGATTTTTGACCTCGTGACTTTGACCTTTTTTAACAAAAAATTAACTTTGGTCATATCTTTTGAATGAGAAGAGATAAGGCTTTCATATTATACATGCATATTACCTGTGAAAAGGCCTTTTTAAAGAAACTATGATTTTTTATGCCGCGACTTTGACCTTGACGTTTTACCTAATTTCAAAAAAATGAACATTACTTTGAATTAGCCATAACTTTTGAATGAGAAGAGATAGGACTTTCATATTATATATGTGTATTACCTGTGACAGGAAATTTTGAAATTCACTCTGATTTTTACCTCGTGACCCTGACCTGGAAGTTTGACCTACTTTTCCAAAACTTTAATCTTGCTCATGACTTCTGAATGAGAAGAGATAGAGCTTTTATATTTAACCTGTATATTGATTTTGAACAAGATCTTTTAAATACACTCTGATTTTTGATCTTGTTACCTCGATCTGGAAGTTTGACCTACTTTTAAAAAATGTTTATTTTTTCTTAGAACTTTTGATTAAGAGATAGGGCTTTCATATTTGACAGGTGCATTACCTGTGACAAGATATTTCCAAGCATAATATCATTTCTGACCCCTTGACCTTGACCTTCAGGACTGACAAATTTTCATAAAAATCAACTTAGGTGATAACTTCTACATGACATATGATTTTTCGTTCATATTTGACACAATATATTCTAAAAAGCCACCTGTAGAGAATTAAGAGTTAAAAGTGGGTCAAACTCCAAGGTCAAGGCTAAGAGATCAAATTTTGTGGAACCCAAAAACAGGTCTTGTCACAAGGAAAAAACTTGTAAAATATGAAATCAAAGCCACAGGCACATCCAATAGAAATTAAAGTTTTTTTTCACATAGAAAGACATAGGATGGACAGGACAAAAACTAATTGCCCAAAATATTAGTATACTGGGGCATAAAAAACAAATTTAATAGATAAATAGATAAGTTTATAAGTGAAATTCTCAAAATAGAATATATTCTATACATATATTGAATGAAATCATCAAATAAAAAAAAATCTTTTTATTTCTAAAACTGATGTCATTATAAACTAATTTGAATTTATATTCTTAAATTATTACTAATAATAGGTCTTTACTCACGTGACCTTTTACTAGACATTATATCTTCCTCTATTGTTGTGTGTGAGTTAACATTTGAACATTTGAAGTTTCTTCTCTGAAACCACTCAACCAATTTCAACAGATTTTGGCATATATAGTTTATATGAGTAACAAAATGTGTTTGCGAAATACTGATGCCTCTGTATGGCAACATTTAAATGCATATTTGATATACTCAGTATTGGTACCAAAAGCAGGCTATTCTATTAAAAAATTTTAAAAGTAGGTCAAACTTCAAGGTCAAAGGTCTTGCTATCAAATGACAGGTCTTTTCCCAAGAACTAAATACGTAAAGTATGAAAGCACTAGCCCTAACCCTTGAAAACTTCAAGGTCAAGGTCAAGGTCAAAGTGTCAAAGATGTTGGTATCCAATGGTTTCCTCACAAAGATAACATAAGTGAAGTATGAGATCACAAGCCCTTAGCGTTCAAAAGTTATGGCCAAGGTTAAATTTCTTTTTCATAAGTACAAATATCTCCAAGGTCAAGGTCAAAAGGTCAAGGTAATTGGCATCCAATGATAGGTCCTGCCACATAGAATACATATGTAAGGTATGGAAGCCCTAGCCCTAACCATTCAGAAGTTATGGCTAAGGTTAAAAATGTCTAAAAGTAACTGCAAGGTCAAGATCAAAGGGTCAAAGGTCTTGCTATCAAATGAAAGGTCTTGTCATAAGGATTAAATATGTAAAGTATGAAAGCACTAGTCCTAACCCTTTAAAAGTGATGGTCAAGGTATGCTTTTTAAAAGTCATCAAACTCCAAGGTCAAAGTCAAAGGGTCAAAGTTCTTGATATCCAATGAAGGATCTTTTTACAAGGATTACATATACAGTAAAACTCAGTTATAACAAAGTCACCAGGACCTATGAAATTACTTCGCTATATCCGTAATTTGATATATATCTGTATAAGAAATTTGTTACATTTATATTACTGTGGATCCAAGATAACTTCACTATATCCGTGAATTTGCAATATCCATGTTTGTACTAAGTAAGTTTTACTGTATGAAGTATGGAAGCCCTATCCCTTACTGTTCCAAAGTTAAGGCTAAGGTTAAATTTTTTTCCCAAGTACGACAATCTCCAAGGTCAAGGTCAAAAGGTCAAGGTTGTTGGTATCCAATGAAAGGTCTTTTAACAAAGAATACATAATGAAGTATAAATGTCCTGGTATCTACTGTTCAAAGTATCCAAAGTAAAAGTTTGTAATTTTGTGTAAAAGTGGGTCAAACTCCAAGGTCAAAAGGTCAAATTTGGTGGTACCCAAAGAAAGGTCTTGTTACAAGGAATATACATGTGAAATATGAAAGTCATAGCTCAACCAAATCAAAAGTTATGGGCAAGGTTAAAGTTTTTGCAGACAAACAGATAGACAGACAGACAGACAGGTAAACAGACAGACGGATGGACATGACAAAAACTATATCCCCCAAACACTTTGTTTACGGGGGCATAAAAAGGGAATAAGAAATCATGAATTTCATGACCTCCCTTTTTTTGAGTAGGTAGTGGAAAACCTACCTAAGCATTGCCCCCTCTTCCAAAATTGTGAATTGCGAATTCTGGAGCTAGTGCAGGGCTCTGTTGAATATATACACAATTTAGTGAAATGCATTATTTCTTTTCTGCTCCTGGGTAATAAGGCAATGAACTAAG